TGCAGGAACCAGCGCCATGTTAGCTAAGAAGTGATTTATTCTGACATAGTAGACACGCCATGCGACTGTCAAGCATACAAGACTGGTACAGCGGGTCTCAGATAAAGTGGGCAAATACGTCCATAAAAAGGACAGGAACCACATGAGATTCAATACAGCATTTGGTGACAGTCACGTTAATAATAGCATATACAATGCTGTGAAGTTAGATAGAAACAAGTATGTCTATGTTATCTTTATGAAAGTACACCCCATACTGCTTCCTGCAATAAACCTGGATGCAGCACCATAAATCTGGAAGAGTGAGCGTTTCCCGCACAACCTGTGGTACCTGCCCAGGTGTCTCCTGTCAAATTCAAGAAATTGTGTATGTCATCAACGTTCCAACGAAGACAGACTGAACAGTCTTATATCAGGTCAAGTCATCGCAGACACGGAAGGTCGAAGTTGAAACCAAGGTCAGGATATTGATGTATCCGCGATATAAAACACTGACTATGTATATCTAGTTCAAAAGGAAACACGCAAAGATGAAACGTCTCATACTTCAAAATATTTTAAAGTAGCAAACCAATTGTGACATGATAATACCTTTGGAGACTGATATATGTACTGCTGAGAAAAGGAAAATTATTCTCAAAGTAAAGTCGTTAAAGTCATAAAAATGTAATTCATATTGGTAGTCAAGTGATAGTCATTGGCATACTGTAGGTAAATATTACAGTGTTTGGTAAGTAAGTAACCATTAGCGCCATGCTTAAGGAAAATAACAAACAATATTTAATAGCAAAAAAATATATGTAAGAAATTCTCAAAATTCACAAAACATCATTCATAGCCCTTTATAAAAAGGCAAAAGCCTATTTAACGTGACGTATCACTATGAAGTATAATGTTAACCAGCTGTTCGATTTGTAAACATCTGAGGGTAAAACATTGTTTCCTTACTCAAACATGGGTGGATACCGGTGTAAAAGCAAGAAAAGTACTGTCACAATTATTTTGCTGTGACCCAGAGACGAGTTATTTTTAAGTGGAAACAACGGCTTTAATTACTATATCTCTTCTAATCAGCAAAGAACACTTCGATTGTGAACAAATGACTGTTATTTGAGTTAGGATAAGGTTCACAATTTGTGTTTTCTAAAGTTCACAACTGTCCTGTTAATGCCTTTATTTTATCACACTTTGTCTCTGGTAATATACATTTTGCCCATGTGATACAAGTGCTGTTTGTTTTGTCATATCAGTGTCCGGGCTGATAAACAGTTCTTTCACCAACTTGGGCCGATAACTAGTTATTAACCTGCCTGATATCACTTCATCTGGGTTCTTCACTACGGATTTCAGTTTTACGTTTAGGCGCCTCGGTTCCCGGCGCAGACGATAGCAACATTACAGATAATGAATGATTCTGAAGTTTGGTCATTGATAGGACTGGTCAGCTCGCGCTGTTTCTGACTTTTGGTCTTTTATTACACAGATCTATGACGGATAGAAACAGATGTGCTCATGTTTGTTTATCCTTATGTTGATTATGTTGATTAGAAGTTGAATTGTTCCAAAAAAATGTTTGTTTTTCAAAATGTGTGATAAAAGGTTATGAAATTTCTTTTTTGATATCACACCCTTAATCAGCCAATGACCTAATATCAGCATGCGGCCCTTATCAATAAAGGGTGTGATATCAAAATAGTCATATAATAACCTCTAAATACTGTACATACTTGGTAAATTGTTATTAACTTGGTACAAAAACATGTAGTTGTACCGTCAATGTGTGTCTCTGATTTTTTGAACGTATTCAAGTTATTACGTTATTTCTCATTTTTATAGATAACTGAAAAATGTCCTGTGAACAACCCTGTCATGTTAATCTGAAAATCTTTCTTGTTGCCTTGTTCGCGGTTATTGTTAGGTTCCCGATTTAGGATTGAACCTATTTTGAAATTCATAGTGTATGACTTTAATGTTTCACTATATACGTTTCAATGTCCCATGTGTTCCATTGTTCATAAAATATAGGGTATGACTCGACATAACTGAAAATACTATGATCAAGCGCACAGGTGTCCTGGCTAACTAATAATTGACCGAGAATTGCGGGCGTTAAATTTTATTTTTGTTTGTGAGAAACTAGAACTTGATGCATCTGTATATACCCTAAATTAATGTTTTGTGTTGGGAAATATATCTCGATCCTACTTAACATGGCAACTTTCTGTGAAAGAAAATTCACATTATGTCTATTTCTAAACAGTATTTCCATTAAAATGATATATAAAAACGCATCAAACCATATATAATTTTCTGTTTTTCTCTAACATTAAATATTTCTGAAACAATTCATTATGGTTTTGTGTAATTATTTTGCATATAAGTATTGCCTGTTACACACGGACAAATCATTAACACCGAGGCTGTCAGCTGTCACTGTGAGATAGCAACAGGATAACGAGCTAATAATCGATCTTACACAAAGTAAATTACCTGTCTGTTCGTACATAATTTTTTCTGATAAGGACAAGTCCGATATGTTTTATACAACATATAGGCCACCGCAACCGCCTCTAAGGTTTAGCTAAACCGAAACTTGCAACAATGTATATTCGGTAAGTGTGTTAGTTTTTTGTGTTAAACTCATTCACCCCTGAAAACAAATTTGAACTCTTCCAATTCAAAGGTTAGAATTGTTCATTATGCAATTTTAGGGGTGAATGAGTTTATAAGGTATTTCCGTGTCGATGCCTAAATTATTTCAAACGATCGAAAAGTCAAAAATAAACAATGAAATCAATATTTGGCTTCATAATATTTCCAAAACCTTGGCGAATGAAGATTTACTTACTGATTTAAAACCTTAACAATAAATTAGGCTTGAGCACAAAATTTATTCTTGATCATGAGAACGGTTTCATTAATACTGATCCAGGTGTTCCGCAATGGTAAGTGTCTTCTGCTTCATCGACGACACCCGCCATGTAAGTCTAGGACAAGTCCAAGTAATGTCACGTCCTCACACCGAGAACTGGGATAGAGATAACAACACCAAAAGGTACATTAATGAGCATAATCAAACACTTCGACCTTTATACCACACAAAGAAATGTCATATTTCCATATAAAAATCATGGGGACGACCATGAATTCTCAATATTATAACAAGGGACCACCAATCATTTCTGCATTATTTAGTATCCCCTTAGAATTAAAGGGATGCATACTACATGTATAAGTAAAGTTCTTCTGATTGTTGGTATCCTTGCTTTAAACCGTCAAACTATTCAACAACATAAAATGGTGCTGATGTACAAGATTATGAATAATGAAACTCCATATTACCTGAAAGAAATCAATGAGTCACATTTTCATGATCCCACACTAGCTTTGTATACCCTTAGATCTGTTAGAATATTTTATCCTCCTCTTTGTCGAACTGTTAACTATTCTAATGCCTTTTTTTCCATCCATATTTAATGAAAAATATAATATCGCTTCAGACCTTCAAAATATTCGTTCCGCCTATCAGTTCAAAAAGTTCATAACACCTAACCCAAATTCAAACACAAGAACAACTGATGTCTTTAAGATTTTAGGAAATCGGGAAACTAATATAATTCTTTGTCAGTTGAGAAATGAGGCCAGTAACCTAAATAACGACCATCAGAAAGATTATCCTCTGCATGTTCTTGTGGTTCAAGATTTAAAACATCATCTCATTATTTCCATGATTGTAAAAAAACACTGAAGATCGTATTGTACTTTTTCAGAATATATTCCATGAATCTCACAACCATTTATCAGTAGATGTCATGCTAAATGGATGTGAGAGATATAATGAAAATGAAAACAAACATATTCTCATATCTATATCCAATTACATTTCAAGTTCTAGAAGATTCAGGAAAATTAACTAAAATTAACTCCATGTAATTCTTCTGATTTCCAAAAATGGTACATGAATATTAATACTAATATTTCCTATTTGTCTTCTTTTTGTTTATTCTTAAATATTGATAGTGAGGGGGGAGGGGGGCTGGGGTTCAGAAGACCAGTTATACTAAATAATAAATATTGGGAAACAACTACATAAATAAGAATTCAAAGCTTTACAACATGTTGATAATATATATTTAAACTGTGTTTAATATGCATAAATTTAACTATTTGGTGGGATTGAATTTCCAAACTCATCAGTGGATGACCTTGTGTGATACAATGGACTTTTTGGCCTGTATCTGTTGGGTGCGGTAATTTGATCCCATCAAATGTTTATACATGCAGCTCCATCAACAAATTATTTTTCTTTTCTCTTCATAATATATTTTATATGTCTTTTCGGTATCATTTAAACCATTAGATTCAATTATAATAAAAATGGGTATTAGTAGTTGTTTCCCCCTAATTTGATTATTAATTTGATAATACCAACTTTTTTTATATGGGTGTGTATGTGTTCTAATGTCTATGTCTATCCTTGTACCACTGTTTGTTACTGTGTTTGGAGAGGGCTTAAATAGGCTTTGCCTGGTGCCCAATCCATTTGTCCTTTGACAATAAAATTTATTGAAATTGAAAAGATGTATGTACCTATACACCTAAGGGCCTTTGGCTAATAAAGAATGAATGAACATATTTGTCTTAAAGAGTAGCCATTGTCGCCTATACTTAAGTATGATGGAATTACATTTATTAGTAGTATTGTTTCGCTTTCATTGTTTTATTATTTTATATTTATTTTTTTATTATTTACTTATTTTGATTTTTGCTACATTTCATGATTTTTGTTTATTTATTTTGTTAACTCATTACTAGCAACAAATGATATGCAAATTAATATCAAATGATTTATTATTTTCATTTTAGGCAAAAACAATGGCAGAAATTATGCCTTTTCTATTTGCCCTAGCGTGCGGACTAGTTCAAGGAGAATGGAGCGCTCCAGATAGCATACCGATACCTTGTGGGAAAAGCACATTGGACAGAATACTGCCATTTCAAGATGTGTATGAAATGTAACACCGACGTTTGCAGCATGTCATTGAGTCCGGGAGGCAGACCAGTGCAGTGCTACTTTTATTGTATGGAAGGTGAGGCATACAAATTCAAACTACGACTCTAGTTAATGTTTACCAAATGAAGTAGAAAACAATAATGGGGTAATATCATTATCAATATCATTTCTTATCCTTGAATACAAGCATAGTTCATAAATTGTCTTGAAAATATGTAGGAAAATCCTTGATCTCAGCTTACACATGTACAGACATTTCTAGATTAGATTAACAAAAATGATTAATAATGTTGTTTGAAAACCATTTTGTACATTTTTGTTAATCTAACAAATACTCATACCCAGCGTAGCTTGTTGAAAGTTTAGTGAACAGCTTAGCTTTATTATAGGATCAAGCTTAGCATTATCTTTATCACTGCATTCGGGCTCTCATGTCTTTGAATTTAATATCAATGATGATATCCATAAAAAGTTTAATCAGTAATGCTGCAGATATCACCCTGTGTGTCCAAAGTTGAAAACTTCCAGCTTATCAGTGTGAACCTGTCAATAATATTGTGACAAAAATGGTCTGATCATACATACACTTCAATAAAACTCTGATAAGAAAGCCCAGAATGTTTTTGCACATAATTAATGTTTGCCTGTAGAATTATACAATAGAGAACTTCTCTGTACCTTTAAAATAGTTTTGGTTTTACATTTGGCGCTTTACTCTTTACAAAAGAAATGCAGACATATCCATTTTTCATGTGATCGTTATTTTTCAGTTAAGAAGAAGATGTTGCAGATGACAGGTAAGTTGACATAAATAATTATACTCATAATAACATTATACATCACTTCAATATGGACATAGTCTTCCATGTTTAAGTGTTGACTTAAAGATAATTTGGTAATATTGGTAAACAAGTTCGCCTTTATACTTCTGACCATGATTTGGAAAACAAATTTTATTTTTTTCCAAGTTGTTATAAGTTAACATGTTTCTCGGATTGTGTCACACAGAGAGTTACATCATTCCATTCTTTGAAGAATAGAATTTAAGCATTTGCTTACTTGTTTTACATATACAGTACTTGAAGATACCACTTCGCCTGCGCTACAAACTTCAACTGACACCTTCACTAAAGCACCAGGTAAGTTGTTGCCATCAGCAATACAAGACAAGAACGCCATTTTAAGCGATATTAACAAGAACAATTTAATAGAGACTAATAGAATTTGTCATCCCCTTGGGGTGAGATAGGGGACTCTCAACCCGATGGGGGAGGGGGAGATTCTTAAGTTGCCAAACATGAGAATCTTTCCCAAATGGTTCGGATTCCCAATCTCACCTCAAGGGGGTGAATGATTCCTTTTCTCTTTCCCTGTTCTCCCATTATGTATCATATACTTAATGTAACGTCAAATGTATAGGCTTAATGCAGGGTTGACGTGACGTTGATGAATTGTTGACGTGACGTCATATAATTGTTATGAATATTGGAATCCCCCCGTCTCAACCCTAGGATGAGACAAGGATATCTCACATCGGGAGAAGTGTGGATACACCTGTCTCAAGGGTAAGAGAAAAAATATCAACACCAGAAATAGCCTATAAAATGAAGTATGCTTCTAGTCGCTAGCCAGGTGATACGTTTTTGGTCACTGAAAACCTCGAAACATGCAATATAAGGGTACAATAAGTTGTTACTTCTCTCAGAGGAGCTCACATGGTAAGCATACATCGAAGAGCAATACGTCAACCTGTAAAGATGTCAAGGTAGCTGATTTATACAAATTAAAAGTTTTCCACGATTCCTAAAAATAGCAAGCCAAAAAGATCGGTAAGATAAGCAATTTATAAAGTTAATTTATTAAAAATACAAAGAAAGATTTTCACATTATCCCCCAATGGTATAATCTTGAATTTTGTTAAATTGTATATTCGATAATTAGCCCTTTGCCAATTATTTCATATTTATAGTTTTTGGTATATTTTAAAATGTCTTTTTAGCTTCAACTAATATATATTGTTTTTTTCTGTTTGTATTGTTGGTTTTTTCAATTGTCTTATTATGTTAACTTTATTACCTAGCACAACAGACCATAACTGAAGAGGCATGCAATTCTTCAGGTATGTAAACGGGAGGCTCTGATTATAGTACTATTTTATTTTGTTTTAAACAGAAAAACGCATTGAATGTAAACGGGTCTAATTTTAATGTGTAAATTGGTGTAGTATTTGTTTAAAAGCTAAGATACACTTGACAGGGCCAAAAACATGTGGAAGTATTGGACTCATTATGAAATATTAGTGTTAAACACATATTGGACTATTAAAAAATATAAATATTTTTTTTCATTCAGATGTGCAACTTGAAACTGTCTTGATGGTGGTAATGCCAATATTGGGTTACGTCTTAGGCATAGCATCTTTAGCGATTTACTATAAATGCATCAGGAATCGAAATGGAGATTGTCCGAAAGGTTTGTAAAGAATGAGTTATATTCAAATATGGTTGTATCACATAGAAGAATATTGACGAGTGTTCTTACTAATGAAATGAAAAAGCCCGTGTCCAATGTGAGATATAAAAAAAAACTCGGACATCATCAATTTTGCAAATGTCTGTGCCGAAAACGAATCACGACTCGAATTTTGCTTTATCATCCACTTCAAATGAACACATTTGTTAGCATTTTCACATGTGGTGATGACCTTTGGAATTAGTATGAATACAAAGATTTTTTATGATCTAGATTTATTCCTTCATGCGAAACAGAACGCATAGGTCGCGCACGTGTCATTTTTTTTACATCGTTAGCAAATAACACAAAATTTCGAGTTTGAAATACATCTCCTGGTGCTATTTAAATTTAAAAATTAACCATCTGTTGACAAAATATAATGCCCGACTATGTATTATAACGCTATATCGCTGTAATAACTTAACTGTTGACACATTGGTTGATTTGAAAGTAATTTTTCAAAAGGTGATTTGATTTGGGAACTGCTCCTTATTTAAAAATAACCAGGTAGTATAACATGTTTCATGTTTCAGTATACAAAACCGTTTTGTATGCAAATAAGTAAGGCATTCCGTCTCTTTCCAATGAAGAAATGGATAAACATTTACCAGCACACTGTGTTATTTGATATGCAGAATAGCCATATATGAATATTTCTAACATTCCTGTTAATTCTTTCTATTTTTGCTTCATCCATTCGATTCAGTCACACATATGATTAATACACTTTTTCAGTAAATACCTGTAAGCTATTATCAATGTTAGGATTCAAGAGAAGAGTGTCTCTACTTATAGTCTATTATATGATTGTTTTTATATTAATAGTCACACTGAAGAGTCATCTACCACAGGGAAGGTATGCTGGTACCACGGAGCCACAGGATGCCGCGGAGTTGGCTATTTCTGCTAAGCTGATGCAGGAACCAGCGCCATGTTAGCTAAGAAGTGATTTATTCTGACATAGTAGACACGCCATGCTACTGTCAAGCATACAAGACTGGTACAGCGGGTCTCAGATAAAGTGGGCAAATACGTCCATAAAAAGGACAGCAACCACATGAGATTCAATACAGCATTTGGTGACAGTCACGTTCATAATAGCATATACAATGCTGTGAAGTTAGATAGAAACAAGTATGTCTATGTTATCTTTATGAAAGTACACCCCATACTGCTTCCTGCAATAAACCCGGATGCAGCACCATAAATCTGGAAGAGTGAGCGTTTCTCGCACAACCTGTGGTACCTGCCCAGGTGTCTCCTGTCAAATTCAAGAAATTGTGTATGTCATCAACGTTCCAACGAAGACAGACTGAACAGTCTTATATCAGGTTAAGTCATCGCAGACACGGAAGGTCGAAGTTGAAACCAAGGTCAGGATATTGATGTATCCGCGATATAAAACACTGACTATGTATATCTAGTTCAAAAGGAAACTCGCAAAGATGAAACGTCTGATACTTCAAAATATTTTAAAGTAGCAAACCAATTGTGACATGATAATACCTTTGGAGACTGATATATTTACTGCTGAGAAAAAGGAAAGTTGATACATGTTATTCTCAAAGTAAAGTCGTTAAAGTCATAAAGTCATAAAAATATAATTCATATTGGTAGTCAAGTGATAGTCATTGGCATACTGTAGGTAAATATTACAGTGTTTGGCAATTAAGTAACCATTAGCGCCATGCTTAAGGATAATAACAAACAATATTTAAAAGCAGAAAAATATATGTAAGAAATTCTCAAAATTTACAAAACATCATTCATAACCCATTATAAAAAGGCAAAAGCCCATCAAACGTGACGTATCACTATGAAGTATAATGTTTACCAGCTGTTGGATTTGTAAACATTTGAGGGTAAAACATTGTTTCCTTACTCAAACATGGATGGATACCGGTGTAAAAGCAAGAAAAGTACTGTCACAATTATTTTGCTGTGACCCAGAGACGAGTATTTTTAAGTGGAAACAACGGCTTTAATTACTATATCTCTTCTATCAGCAAATAACACTTCCATTGTCAACAAATGACTGTTATTTGAGGTTAGGATAAGGTTCACAATTTGTGTTTTCTAAAGTTCACAACTGTCCTGTTAATGCCTTTATTTTATCACACTTTGTCTCTGGTAATATACATTTTGCCCATGTGATACAAGTGCTGTTTGTTTTGTCATATCAGTGTCCGGGCTGATAAACAGTTCTTTCACCAACATGGGCCGATAACTAGTTATCAACCCGGGCTGATATCACTTCATCTGGGTTCTTCACTACGGATTTCAGTTTTACGTTTAGGCGCCTCGGTTCCCGGCGCAGACGATAGTAACATTTCAGATAATGAACGATTCTGAAGTTTGGTCATTGATAGGACTGGTCAGCTCGCGCTGTTTCTGACTTTTGGTCTTTTATTACACAGAACTTTGACGGATAGAAACAGAAGTGCTCATGTTTGTTTATTCTGATGTTGATTATGTTGATTAGAAGTTGAATTGTTCCAAAAAAATGTTTTGTTTTTCAAAATGTGTGATAAAAGGTTATGAAACTATTTTTTTGATATCACACCCTTAATCAGCCAATGACCTAATATCAGCATGCGGCCCTTATGCTGATATCAAGGTCTCAGCTGATAAAGGGTGTGATATCAAAATAGTCATATAATAACCTCTAAATACTGTACATACTTGGTAAATTGTTATTAACGTGGTACAAAAACATGTAGTTGTACCGTCAACGTGTGTCTCAGATTTTTTTAACGTATTCAAGTTATCACGTTATTCCTCATTTTTATAGATAACTGAAAAATGTCCTGTGAACAACCCTGTCATGTTAATCTGAAAATCTTTCTTGTTGCCTTGTTCGCGGTTATTGTTAGGTTCCCGATTTAGGATTGAACCTATTTTGAAATTCATAGTATATGAATTTAATGTTTCACTATATACGTTTCAATGTCCCATGTGTTCCATTGTTCATAAAATATCGGGTATGACTCGACATAACTGAAAATACTATGATCAAGCGCACAGGTGTCCTGGCTAACTAATCATTGACCGAAAATTGGCGGGCGTTAAATCTTATTTTTGTTTGTGAGAAACGAGAACTTGATGCATCTGTATATACCCTAAATTAATGTTTTGTGTTGGGAAATATATCTCGATCCTACCTAACATGGAAACTTTCTGTGAAAGAAAATTCACATTATGTCTATTTCTAAACAGTATTTCCATTAAAATGATATATAAAAACGCATCAAACCATATATAATTTTCTGTTTTTCTCTAACATTAAATATTTCTGAAACAATTCATTATGGTTTTGTGTCATTATTTTGCATATAAGTATTGCCTGTTACACACGGACAAATCATTAACACCGAGGCTGATAGCTGTCACTGTGAGATAGCAACAGGATAACGAGCTAATAATCGATCTTACACAAAGTAAATTACCTGTCTGTTCGTACATAATTTTTTCTGATAAGGACAAGTCCGATATGTTTTATACAACATATAGGCCACCGCAACCGCCTCTAAGGTTTAGCTAAACGGAAACTTGCAACAATGTATATTCGGTAAGTGTGTTAGTTTTTTGTGTTAAACTCATTCCCCCCTGAAAACAAATTTGAACTCTTCCAATTCAAAGGCTAGAATAGTTCATTATGCAATTTTAGGGGTGAATGAGTTTATAAGGTATTTCCGTGTCGATGCTGGGGAACAGATCCCGGTAGCTCGCCTAAATTATTTCAAACGATCGAAAAGTCAAAAATAAACAATGAAATCAATATTTGGCTTCATAATATTTCCAAAACCTTGGCGAATGAAGATTTACTTACTGATTTAAAACCTTAACAATAAATTAGGCTTGAGCACAAAATATATTCTTGATCATGAGAACGGTTTCATTAATACGGGCCCAGGTGCCATGTAAGTCTAGGACAAGTCCAAGTAATGTCACGTCCTCCCACTGAGAACTGGGATAGAGATAACAACACCAAAAGGTACATTAATGAGCATAATCAAACACTTCGACCTTCATACCACACAAAGAAATATCATATTTCCATATACAAATCATGGGGACGACCATGAATTCTAAATATTATAACAAGGGACCGCCAATCATTTCTGCATTATTTAGTATCCCCTTAGAATTAAAGGGATGCATACTACATGTATTAGTAAAGTTCTTCTGATTGTTGGTGTCCTTGCTTTAAACCTTAAAAATTATCTTGATGACACTTAAAGCATACCTGTATCAATCACGGAAGATGTACTGTGTATTAAAGGTTCTCGTAGCCATCATCTGTAGTTCAAGGTTTAAATATTTTCTAAGTTACATTAACATCAATCGTGCAGCTGATCTCAGTTAACAGGTTGAACAACAACATAAAGAGGGGATCACACATATCTCTTTTGACAATACATCCATGAAAAAGAAACGCTTAGGAGTAAAAGTTGTTTGTAAATCAAAATTGTTTTTAAGGAATGCTTGTTTTTATAGGAGCAGCAAAAGATATGTTAAAAGTATCATATGACTATGTTCGTATAATGTTCTAGACTTAAATGTTGTGCCGCATTCCTTTGTCCTTTTAGCTTAACAGAGGAACTATTGCGTCTTGTATGTAACATCACTGTACCCCAAATGGGACCTTGTTAAGCATCATGCTACTTTATACCATACTATCAATTCAAAAACATGTTTGTTAATTTTTCAAACATTGATACCATCCACTTTTTGCATGGAACCCTGAGGGTTCATGCCTTGCCTATATTGGTGATGATCTGTTTGAGCTATGGACATTGCGGAACGATAAACACTTTCCTGTGTTCTCAATGCAAAATAAGATGAAATAAACACGTTCCGAAGGAAATATGGGGTATGGTCAGGGTGATGGTCATAATTTAATAAAGCTGATATTTTCAGCTACATGTTTGTATTAGTATACGCTGCAATTTCGTTATCTTCCTGAGGTTCCTAGCGAGTGTGTTGGGGTAAGGAAAGGACTTGGAATAGGACAGAAATATTACAGCACCAAGGTAATGTGTTGTGAAATTAATTATGATTTATTGTATCCTGTAGCGGGTCTACGTGTATTTAATAAAACAATACACACATTGTACCTGTGAATCTAGATTTGATACTTTAAATAATTTGTGTCGGTAAATTACTGCGACTCTATTGAAGTTGACAGCTAGTTGGTAGTGGCAAAAAAACTTGGTTTCTGTTGAAAGACAGTAATAGGATCAAACATTGTGAAGTACAAGTTAGAAACTTTTTTGGACTGTAGCTTTTGCACCATATATGATATCAAAAATAAAACTTTAAATCTGTCACTTATCTTGAGTCTACTTCTTTCATTCATGTGCAGTAGTACTTGGTAAAATCATCCACAGGTTTATTACTTATTTCAGAATACTGGAAACCATGGCAAGCTAAATTAACATTTAATACTTACCAATGACAATGTACCACATTATTCCAAAATTGATTAATAATTGATTTTGATAAAAAAAAAATATAGTGCCCATTACTAGTTACATATGTGTATTGCTTACAAGTTGAAATATCTTTATCATTAGATATAATAAATATTTGTATTGAAATAGAGATTTCTTTCAAGTTACAATGCACTGTTATCTTACAGATAACTTCATTACAGTTAACTATATATCTATTACAATTAAATACATTTGTGAATATCTATTATATGATATCACATGCGTATGTAACTTTCTAACGTGGTTCTATAAATAGAACGTTAAATACTATCAGAGTCACGTAGGCTTTTGAACAGGTGTTACTATACCCTTAACGAGACATTTCAGTATTTTGGCCATTATTGGGAGATGAACAATCAATTTAAGCATAATAGTATATATAGTTCAAATGGGGTTCTGATTAAATTTCTTTTCCTAACTAGCATCAATTTTGATCAAATACACTTTCGAAAATGATATCCAAATAAATCACGTAAATCACGTTTTTTTTGTTTTTTTCAATTATTCTTACATTTAAATTGTCCATGTAGCAGCCAATAGAGTGTATATACTGTTAAATTGTCATAAAAGTACTACCAAGAGAAAACTACATAAATAAATGTATTTCTTTGCATTGCATGACAGTTTCCTGGGCCGAATTGCCACACGTGTCCTGTTCTGGGTAATGTCCCGTTTTAGGTACAGCGACGTAAAGATAGACTTTTATGGAATTCCAATAATTAACGATAATTTAAAAATAGATTTTTCAAAAATTCCCTATTATCCAGTCACTCCGGTCTTCCTTTACCTACGTTTAAGTTCAGTGGAGAGATATCTTTCGCCACGACAAGACGTGTTTAAAGCACTGCTGAGATACTTACAAGGTAATCGGTAGTTTTATCATTTGAATTTATTGATATCGGTTCGGCGTCCTCGTCGACTGTGTCTAAAACGTATCTATGTGTATATACATATATAAGCATTTTAATTCAGTAGAGCCGGACGAAGTAAAGATAGTCTAACTGGTTTATTATAATGGACACATTCTAACGAACATATTATTTATTGACGACAGTTTGACTTCAACATCCACGTAATGATATGCTATTTTTGATAATAAGCTTTGACATGTTCAGCAAGACACGTGAATTGTATTTTGAATATGCATAAACTTGGAACTGGGTTTCTGTTTTCTATATCCCGCATCAATAGAATTATCCCTATACAATGCTTCTGTTATTTAAAATAAGTTGAAATCTATATATAGCAATAATATTGTTATATATTGTCCAATATTCAAATTGACATAAACAACTTTTGCATGATGACTGTCGAATTCATTCAACATAAAGTTATTGAAATATTTATTTGTTAACTTGTTAAAGATTTATGAGATTTGTCAGACATTCCAAAGTTAACTTTAAAATATATAACGGAGCGTTGTTATTCTGTGATAAATAAATCTACAAAGAACAGAAAATAACTTTAAAATGTGTAACAACATGCCTTTAAGGCATTTCACCTGTGCTCATATCGGTGTAGAAAAACTGTTGTGGGTGCATCATTTTTCCTCTAAGAACAATGTAAATTATGACAATTGATGACACAGTTGAAAGATTTGTTTTTGTCTGAAATGTGTCATTTGAACACAGATTTTTTCTTTTTCTGAATACCTTTGAATAACATAAATAATGAGACAAATTATCTGTACATGTGCTCCCGAAGTATCCATGTAGTCATGCGCTCAGCCCTGTTACCTTCATGAGAAGTTACGATATGTTCATGTAGTCATTATTATCGCCAAAAAAGAAAATGTTTTAAATGTCCCAGAATGATGGTATGTATATCCATGTAATATATCACAATGAAGCACAAAGTCATCAAGGCTGACTGAAGGTAAAAAAAACATGTAAAGCATGCATAATTTACCTTTACACTGTTGAGAATGATGGTATGTATATCCATGTAATATGTCACAATGAAGCACAAAGTCATCAAGGCTGACTGAAGGTAAAACAAACATGTAAAGCATGCATAATTTACATTTACACTGTTCAGAATGATGGTATGTATATGCATGTAATATATCACAATGAAGCACAAAGTCATCAAGGCTGTCTGAAGGTAAAACAAACATGTAAAGCATGCATAATTTACATTTACACTGTTCAGAATGATGGTATGTATATGCATGTAATATATCACAATGAAGCACAAAGTCATCAAGGCTGTCTGAAGGTAAAACAAACATGTAAAGCATGCATAAAATACCTTTACACTGTTCAGAACATGTTCCCACTCAGGTAATCAGGCTTGACTCGTGCCCTTAGCCTGTCATTATTCTGGAAATGTGAACCATTTTTTCATAGTTTTCCTGATAATAGTGTCTTCATGGATGCTTCAGGAATACATGTTCAGGTGATTTTGTTTTCGATTTGGTAATATTAATGGGTGTGCGTGTGCAAACATATTGTTTTCAAATATCACAGAAATAAACAATATTCTCAATAAATGTTGGTTTACATTGTTCCTGAAACATGATTCCCAAAGTGCTTTGATTCTTTATCATTTTGAGGAAAATCTATGAGCCCAAAACAAACTTTTTACAGAGACATGAGTCTGGATGGAATATATTAATTCCTCCATTTACATTTAATGTTTAGTATCCAAATTCCAGTTGATTAAAGTTTCGCCTGTACATTTAAACAAGAGGCCCAGAGGACCTGTATCTCTCACCTTGATATCTAAGCAATCATGGCAAAATATTCTCTAAATAAGGTCCAAGGGAATGGGTCAGACCCCTAGGCCAATCCTTGTAGCATATCTGTATTAGATTTTTCATTCCCAGCAATTTTATGTATGGTTATGGGGTCAGGATCTCAACTGTTTCCAATCTGTGACTCAGAAACTAAGCCTCTAGGGTTGTGGCAAGACCCCAGGATCAATTGTAATATCATGACTGCATTCGTCTCTTTATGCCCAGCATTTGTATATATACTTTTGGGTTGGGGATCTCAACCGTTTCAAAGTTGTGACCCAGGGGTTAAGTCTACAAGGGTTGGGCAGACCCCATCTCCTCATGCGCAGCATTTGTATATAAAGTTTTGGGATGGGGATCTTTTTTCATTTCGAAGTTATGACCAAGGGGTCAAGTCTCCAAGGGTGGGGTAAACCCCAGGGCCATCCTGGAAACATATGTTCATTCGTTTTTATACTCAGTAATTGTATATATGGTTATGGTTAGGGTGGGGATCTCAACTGTTTTAAAGATATAACCCAGAAACTAAGTCCATCCGGATTAGGAAAGACCCAGTGGCCTATTTTTACATAATGATTGTGTTTATCTCTTGATGCCCAGCAATGCTATATGTGGTTATGGGGTGGGGATCTCAACGGTTTCAAATATATAACCCGGAAACTAAGTCCCTAGAGGTGGGGAAAGACCCCAAGGCCTATTTTTACATTATGCTTGTGTTTATCTCTTGATGCCCAGCAATGCTATATGTGGTTATGGGGTGGGGATCTCAACGGTTTCAAACATATAACCCAGAAACTAAGTCCCTAGGGGTGGGGAAAGACCCAGTGGCCTATTTTTACATCATGCTTGTGTTTATCTCTTGATGCCAAGCAATGCTATATATGGTTATCGGGTGGGGATCTCAACGGTTTCAAACATATAACCCAGAAACTAAGTCCCTAGAGGCGGGGAAAGACCCCAAGGCCTATTTTTACATCATGCTTGTGTTTATCTCTTGATGCCCAGCAATGATATATATGGTTATCGGGTGGGGATCTCAACGGTTTCAAAGATATAACCCAGAAACTAAGTCCCTAGGGTTGGGGAAAAAACCCAGTGCCTATTTTTACATCATGATTGTATTTATCTCTTGATGCCCTGCAATACTATATATGGTTATGGGGTGGGGGTCTCAACTGTTTCAAAGATACAACGATCCATAACATATAATTTTGACCCCACCCTACCACTTGACCCCTTGACCCCTTGACCCCTTGACCCCTTGACCCCTTGACCCCAGGGTCATAAATTTCATAAATTCAAAAGAAAGCTAGTTGATGATTATAATTAAATGTGCAGTTACTTTCTGCTACTTGAAGGAGTAGAGAAGAAGATTTTTAAAGATTACCCCATTCTTTACCTATTTGGCCCCACCCCTCAGGCCCCTGGGAGTGCAGCCCCAAAAATTTCATAAAGTCAGATCCCCATATCCTAGTGATGTTCCAAGTCAAATTTGGTCGAAATTGGCCCAGCAGTTTTGAAGAAGAAATTTAAATGTACACAATATTGACCCCGCCCTCCCTCTTGACTCCTTGACCCTAGGGCCATTACTCTCTACTACTTGTAGGAGAAGAGAAGAAGAATTTTAAAGATGACTCCATTTTTTTATCCAATTGGCCCCGCCCCTCAGGCCCCTAGGGGCGTAGCCCTATACATTTCATAATTTAATAATGAAATAACCCCTGGGTCCTAGTGGTATTTCATGTCAAGTTTGGTCAAAATTGGCCCAGTAGGTTTGAAGAAGAAGATTAAAATGTAAAAAGTTGACGGACGACAGACGACGGACGCTGCAGTATGACATAAGCTCACTTGGCCCTTCGGGAATAATAACTGAACGACAAAAATCCTCGCAATTCCATTCCCTGTACGTTGGTAGTACATATCAAATAATTTGTTCCACATTATTCATAGTATGTTTTGTAATATTGTCAAACATATTCGAAAGTATTTGATTGTTTAGAAAGTACTGCAGGAATAATAGTCATTTTTATCTTATTCGGAAGAGGTGTTTTATCACTGCTGATAACTACAAACCTCTGTTCCTTTGCGGTTCTTTTTCTCTATATATATACTACTGATTAAGTTTAGTCACTAGTATAAAATATGATAATAATAAATTGTATCAATCAAAATAGCAAGCGATAAAATGAGGGAGTATTACACAAATCCATAACGGTTCTGTATATATCATAACTAATGCATTTGATATAACTGTCACCATCATCATCTTTTATTTTCCCTTGCAGAGTTAACCATAGTATTTAGCGAATATTGATGATTTGTTTCATAACACACGGAACGTTATCCTATATAACAGATAGATATTATTGACATTTATAAACTTGTGAGAACGCAATAACACACGAAAGTACATTTAAGCTTTTTAGACCCTAACATGGTCAAGGGGGAATGAAGGCGCAATGTTGGTTAATATAATTAAACACGTGTTTCCAGTCTATTCGCCTTCCATTCAATTGATAATTTGGAAAGTATTGCGCACACAATTGTCCAGTTTGCTATGATTATGTAACATTGATATACACCTGTAGGTCACAGGAATGTACAGGTATGGTAGCATGATATATCCCATGATTCAGTTGTGTATTGGATTTTCCATATTATATTATTTATAGTGTTCTATTTATACATAGAAAATTTTCAGCGTGTTTAGTGTATATGCAATTGAAATTGTAATTAAATTGAAGGACTTTCGAAGTGGCCCAGAGGAAGCAGGACCATATCTAAACAACGGATTGTCGGAGACGATATAAAGTAGGTGTTTTTTGCGATTTCATAAATGATATTTTCTTTTACATGTTGAATAATATACTTCATGAATAGGATAACAGCTTGTGTAGTCAGATATATTTTAACGTATTGACATACAAAAGTATTTGCTCTGCATTGTCAACATCAAAACCTAACAAAATGAGCTGAAAGTTATGAGACTATAACTTTGTCTCATAAAGCAGATCGTGACGCCAAACTTTATTCTATTCACAGTTAGAGTGTGTAGTCTAACAGGTTAACAAACATACGATCATTTGCATTTTAACACTCAAATGTTCATGCATAAATCATGTACACTAGCTATGAACTGAGCACGTGATCGTAACCGTGACAGTTAACTATTTGTACAAAAATGTAGGTGAAATTCGATCTTAGCACATGAACAGAAACAATAACATCACTAAATCTATAAATAAGAAACAAAGGAGATTAACAGTATATTACTAAAACAAATACACGGTATATCTAATGATTCCAGAAACGCATAACAAACCATACAAAAATTACCCGGAACACAACAAATGGAGTGAACGATACTTCAAAAGTGATTGCTATATTACCTTATAGAAGAATGATAAATAATGAATATTCAATATTTGTCGTCTTGAACCTTGATAAAAAAAAATCTCCTATCATGACACAAATCCTGGAGACTTATTCACTAGAAATAAGATATTAGGAAAAACCTCTCCTGGCCACAACCAGCCGTTGGCTGTAATATTCTTTAATCCTTTTCTTTTTTGAAAATTATAATTATCAATTGACTGCCAATATAAATAGAAATATGAAATTAAAAAAAGTATTAAGCTGCCTCCTGTTCTAATGTCATATATATATATAAAATAATACGATGAGACTTGTTTTTAAAACTGTGTTTTGTTTGCATTAGTATGCGGTTATATCATTTTATAGAGAAGGCCATGAAGTGTACAAAGTCTCTTATTATTTTACAGACTGAGAATGGGACCCAGCATCGCATGCCTGTTAGCCATTATGGTAATGGCTGCGACAACCCTACCAACAACTGGAAGACCAATACTAAAGCATGTATTGGTCCAGTGTGGGGATTCCTCGTGTAACATAATGAAAGAGTATTGCTACCAACAGCAATGCTTCCCATGCAATGAAGCGGTCTGCAACACACCCGGCTTTGACGGAGGAATGCTTGCCCAGTGCTACTTCTACTGTGAAGCGAGTGAGTTTTGTATTTGTTATCTATTATCGTTATAAACACGTTCCAGTTTTACAAAAAAATATTAGTGGTAATTAAAGGCAATTGCTTGCATTTGCCATAAAATACATATTATGTCTGAACTGGATGCTGACATAGCTCTTGACTCAATGAGTGATTACTTTGCATTAATATTGAAGTATTTGTTCACACAAAACTTCTTCACTTGAAATGTCACTTGGATTAATTAATTCATAAGAACCATGAGTCAACTATTTCATAGCTGGTTACAAGTTTTCCTTAAAGAAGATGAAATACATATTATTGGTACATCTTCAATTGAAATCAAATCACATCAACAACCACTCAGGCACTATGCTGTAGCAAACGTTGGAGTTCATATTTCGCTGTTTTCTTTTCAGTCGACAGGTTAACCCTACAGGCCCCTCTCGCCGCGAATAGTGCAAACAATACTGGTAAGTAGAATTTTCAACAGAAGTTGTTTTTTGACAACGATTGGCAGTGGCGTAGCAAATCATTTTTCGGAGTGTATATGCTTACAGGGGGTCGAGCGTCGGATGCGTCTGATTATTAACTAGTAAAACCCGACTTTTAATATGAATTATATTAAATTTTTAACTTCACTAAGTAGGTTTTGATATACATAAACCTCTCGAGATTCTTAAATTATCAGACTAAAATATTAAAGATTGTTTCCTCCCCCCCCCCCCCCCCTTTTTATGATTGATACGGACGGTCCATATTAATCATAGAAAAGGGAAATGATTGAATAGATAAGATAAAAAAATGAAAATTTTAGTGTATGCTTGAGCATATAAGCATACATGTATGCTACGCCACTGATTGTGATTCAAAACTTAGAAGAAATTCTGTATATTTTTTTTTATAAAATCCATCTTTGTTAGATGCCACTATGTGACTTAACAGTATCACAACGTGATTGACTGTGGTTAGTACGGTATTAGAAACATAGAGGTTTTGATGAGGCGTCCCCGTAATCCTACGAAAGTGAAGGGTTTTATTTATAGGTAACCACTAAATGGATGTTAAGTGGTTAACCAAACCACTAAACTACCGCTCATTTAGGCTACCACTAAACGTTCCAAGTGCACATCTATAATTGTATTGTATTGTATTGTATCTATAATTTGGCAATATGTCATCTCCTGAACCTGTGGATTGGTCAGGTTTAGGATTATCAATATTGCATAACAAACCAAGATTGTTAAGTAGGAAATTTACATAAAGGTATTTACATACAAATATCACAAATCTTGATCAGTTTACACGACTACATAAAAATCATTAAGGCTGGATAAACCTAGTTGGTTCTGAGCTGTAAATCTTATACTTCTTGCTCCTAATTTCAACCGTTTTTATGATAATTTATACATAGCCTGTATATATGTACAAGAATCTCAAGCGAATATTTCATTTTGGATTAAACATTTTGACGTTAACTTTGCAGAAAGACAATTTTATTGGAATGTAATTCTTAGTTTTCAGAGAATTTTTTTCTACCATTTTATTTAATACATGAAATGATTCTTGAAGTGATATTGGTGATATTTTATTTCTGCAGCAGAATGTGTCCACGCGGTTAAGAAGGAGAAAACAGGTACACTATTTGTTCTTTGATGAATATCAAATTGTTGAAATCAAATTCCCTTTTAGTTATAATGGCATTAATTGTACTCGTTGCGTATAATCCATATATTGACATTGTAATAGTTAGGCCCCCATTCATCTAATTATCATACATTTCGATTGTCTAATTTTCGCTATATGAGCGACATTATGCCATCACTAATAATAAGACAGTCGTTACCTCCCCTGTAGTGTTACCTGAGGGTTGACGTCATTTGTAACACCAACATTTGACAATACCTTATCGTCAGATGGTGAGCATAACAGAATGTAAAAGTCTTAAAAATATCTACATTCCAATATACCACATTTCTTTTGATAAATGTTCTCATTTCGATTAGATAATTTCGTACAAATATTGAGTAGATGTATTGCTCTTTAACAGGTATGAGAATGGAGATATACCAATTTTTGCTGATTATATTAGGGACTTTCAGTCTCGGTGCAGTAGCCGTGATGCTGTTCATGTGGTATCGGAACCGACAGACTACCACTAACAACAAAGACCGAAGAGGTAGGATATTCACAAACAACTGTAAAGATTTACCCTGAGTTAAATATTCAATTATTTCGATTCCAGTACCATCAAGAAACAATAGCTATAAGCTATTATACAATGTTAACATTTGAAAGGGCCTACGTTTTCAAAAACTTATACAAACCATTATATGGCTATTTTTAATGCTTTCAGCTTTTCCTGTTTCGCCACCACAAGACAAGTACTCGGGAAATACAAACCCAAAGGAAAAGGTCAAAATGCTGGTTTCAAACATGTAGATAGGCATGCGCATTCACTCTAGGAGAACAAACCAAGGGATCCGTACGAGATAGCGTATATCTACTCTGCAGAAAAGATGTAGGAATATCGAGAGCGTATCCCTTTGATTTCGAAGATGTTACAAAACCTGGCTATCTGTTAAACAATCATATTTATCTTGTTCTTTTTTATTTTTATGTAAATTCTGGTTTAATCGTGCAGGATATCATTTATACAAGTTTTTACTAGTATAATTAGATATTTTGCTAACGCGGACTATTGAACCAACATCTAATTAAGATTGCTTTTGGATATTTAAGTGCACGTTGTAACTCGTGTGTCTGATTTCGCACAACTACTATGCAGACAATGTGACTAAAAACACATTTTACTGTTTTCTAGTTTCGCCCTTTTTCCTGTATAGTGTGTTTTTCCTTCGTATGTTTTAGTAATAGTAATGTTGCTATGTCTTTCATCCCTGCGTTAAGTCACCCGAGTAAATTTCGCCACATGTTCTCACAATCTGTACAGGTAAGCATACCAAAACATCACATGATATCTTTGTATTTTAATAGCAATATTGATTTTTATGTTCCTTAATAATGGAAATGTCGGCAGATATTATTTTAATCTAATACACAAAAACTCGAAAAATAATTCGATTAAGTTATTTTTATACTATTCCTTGATTCTTTGAATAAAATATCAATGACAACAGGTCTTTTAAAGGTAGAGAGAATGAACTCAATATTGATTGATAAGTTAGATTAAAGCCTAAGACTCTCCCTAGAGGTTAAGTTATAATCTGGTTATAGCTGTTTGTATGACAGGGATCGTATACTCTTCCTAGAGGTTAAGTTATAATCTGGTTATAGCTGTTAGTATGACAGGGATCGTATACTCTTCCTAGAGGATAAGTTATAATCTGGTTATAGCTGTTAATATGACAGGGACCGTATACTCTCCCTAGAGGTTATTATAATCTGGTTATAGCTGTTTGTATGACAGGGACCGTATACTCTCCCTAGAGGTTAGTTATCATTTGGTTATAGCTGTTAGTATGACAGGGACCGTATACTCTTCCTATAAATAAGTTATCATATGGTTATAACTGTATGACAGGTCCCGTAAACACTCCCTAGAAGTAAGTTATCATCTGGTTATAGCTGTATGTATGACAGGGACCGTATACTCTCCCTAGAAGTTAGCTATAATATGGATATAGCTGTATGTATGACAGGGACCGTATATTCTACCTAGAAGTTAGCTATAATATGGATATAGCTGTATGTATGACAGGGACCGTACACCCTCCCTAGAAGTTCCTTATAATCTAATTATACTCTCCCTAGAACTTAGTCATAATTTAATTATGGCTGTATGACAGATACGGTATATTCTCCCTAGAACGTAGCTATAATTTGATTATAGTTGTATGACAAGTACCCTACACTCTGTCTCAAGAGGTCAGTTTTAATTTGATCATATCTATATGAATAACAGGTTGTATATTTCCTCTATGGCAGTTAGTGATAATAGTTTTGTCACTGACTGCTATGTTATGGATACTTTACATCGACAATGATGCTTTGGTATGCGTATCTGTATTGAGCGTGTGTATGTCACATATCTCTGCATATGTGAGACGTTATATACATCATATACCTATTTTATATGCTTTATATAATGTTGTTCTTTTTTAGTTCTTTTTTTTAATGTATTGTTTTTTCATTGTTTATTCGAGACACTATCCTCCATCCATATGAGAAGTACATTTTAGAAGCACATAAGCATTATTTATTATGAGAATATATTCTAAAACAAAATGTATTATTCTATAGCAAAAGGTTCGAAATTATACACAACAGGTAAAATAAGAAAAACTTGAAAATTTATTTGTTGAAGATTTATTAATAAATACCATTCAAATACAATATTGTGAATAAACAATTTCGATTAAATTTAGGCAATGAAAACAACATTGTCATTTAACAAAAAAAGTAAATTTTTGTATTTAGCTTAATTGATTCCATCCGAGTCTTGGGATCATTGTGCTGTTGTGCCTTAAGTACATTTTATTCTTTATTTATGTCATATTTTTTATCCTAAAAAGTGAGGTTATGCGTAGTTCATCGACTGAACAATCGGCTATTTACACGATCATAATGTTCATAATGTAAATTATTCAAAAAACGAACACAAAAGAACTTGATTCTCTATTGTTTCTCTACTAAAACAGGTTTTGAAATCCTATCAATACATTTATCTAATCATGAATTTCATTGGTACCAACTATTAAAAAATATTATCCTTAAATGTTTAGTATCAAAATAACTTTTATCATATTCGATTACATTCCAATAAAAAAAAATATTATTTTAATTTGAGAGTGATTTATATAATAACATGAAGTCAGATTGTTCAGTCTATTGCCATAGCTCATGGTCGACAACTGTCGGAGTCCTAATTCTACTCTCAAGGCTTGATTACCAGATATTCTTTTCATAATTTATGATTTCGAAAACAAATAATAAACAAAGAAAACGAAAATTTAAACATGAAATTAAAAAGCATAGTATACCATGCTAAATAGAAACATGTCTGAGGACAAAAAAACATATTCTCACACACTTTGAGAAAAGGGTATTTTGGACAATTTGCGTAAACTTTTTTGTTAAGCTGATCAAGCTTTGAACAACTTGACCATGAGCTTCCATTTCCTCGCTTAAAGCACTACTTGTAAGAGTCGGTGCTGTTCAAAGTGGACATATCCTCAACCTGGTTAGCTTGATATTCTTTATATGGTTACCTATGGTGCGACTTAGTCGATAGAAATGAAGAAAGTCGTAACATCAATCTTGAAAATAATTGTTGATTTTTGACATATAGCGTTATTATACTGAGGGAGAAATGTTTAACAATTTTATTGACAGTTCATATGTAAAATTAATATTTTATGAAGAAAAAAAATGAATTTGACATTAAATTTTGGCTATTAACACGGTATTTTAAAAAGAAATGGTAAATTAACTGGAAATGTTAAAATTAAATATGTACGTCACTTTTAACATTAATTGGCTGTATTTCATTATAGCTAACCATTAAAAGGGTATCTAGCTGATAAGGATTGAAATGTCTACTAAAATAAATAACATTAAAACCAAAAACGTTCCAATATGACCAGATATCTGGATATCTGATTTGCTAGATATCTGATCTGGAAGGTTTTTTTGTGGCAATATTCGGGTGTCTACAATGGGATGAAATCTTGTTTTGATTATATTGTTTATCACATAATGTCTGAGTAATCCAGTGAATATACCCATGTCATATTTTTTGCGTATTAACCCATGTAATATGACCTATCAGCCCTGTGATTGGGTGTAAGCTTCAATTGTTTCAATTGTGACGTCACGCCAAGGACAAGTACATGACGTCACAGTCTTACGCACTGGAGTCAAAATGGCGGCTTTTACATTTCAAGGTTTCATGAAAATTGTCGTTTTACATGAATAAATGCCAAAAATCTCGGTTATGTGATGAAAAGGATCATATACTCGTTTTCATTTCATATGAGCCAGAGGCTCGCTAAATTGAAAAATTCTTAGACTCGTTTAATAAATCTCATATAAAATGGAAAATCATGTAAGATCCTCTACATACTTTCCTATTGTTTGTATATTATATGCACATGTATTTAGTTGGATGTATCAATATTACAAGATTTATTTTAATCAGATTGAAATGTTACTTAACGTCATGTGTTTATGAAATCAACATACTACACATCGTTATATGACATCTTGGGTCAAACTTTTACAATAGATGATATGAATATGAAATCTAGACTTAAGTTATTGCATAATATTTTGTACATATGATATCTGAAATAAACTTGCATAATATTGTGATGATATGAAATCTAGTCAAGTTATCACATAATATTTTGTACATATGATATCTGAAATAAACTTGCATAATATTGTGATGATATAAATTCTAGAGTCAAGTTATCACATAATATTTTGAACATATGATATCTGAAATAACCTTGCATAATATTGTGATGATATGAAATCTAGTCAAGTTATCACATAATATTTTGTACATATGATATCTGAAATAAACTTGCAAAATATTTTGATGATATGAAATCTGGAATCAATATATCACAGAAGATAATGGTATTATGATATCTAGAATAATCTCATCACACCATGACTTGTTATCAGTATATGGTATCTATGGTCAACATACTACATAATAGAATGTGAATAAGCAATCTGGAGTCATCTAATTAAATTTAAGTAGGTGAATATGGTATTTAACATCTGGAATATCTTCAATAAGCTTGTTACAGAAGATTATGTGTACATTTGATACGTGGAGTCAACTCTTTTACATAAAACTATGTGAATATTAAATCTGCAGTCAAACTATTATAAAAGGTTTGATGCATATGGTATCTGAAATCAAACTTAAATCTTGAGTAAACATTAGATTACATAAGTATGGTATATTTAATCTTAAAAACCTGGAATCAACCTACTACATAAATTTTGTGTATAAGATATGTGAAATAAAAGTTATTACATACGATAATATGAATATGATATCTGGAATATGAAGTCAACTTATTACATGATATTATGTTCATATGAAATCTTGAAACAAACTTTTACATAGGATTATGTGAACATATATGTATATAACACATCTTGAGATATCTTATTACATTAAGGAAGCTTCATGTTGATCACATTTAAATTTTTAAAAATATGTATATATAATATCATAAAGAAACAGTTATCTCTCACTCTGGCTAATTACTTAATGATATACAAACAAAAGGTTTCATTTTCATATCCAATCGAAGTTATTGAAGATTTACGTTTCAGCTCTGCACAACACTATTGTCACCACGTGACATTGCGTACGTGTATATACATTTGTCGTTTTTACCTGTGCAACGGAATGATTGCACAGGTACACACATAGCAGCCATATCGAGCTACGAGTGTAGCCCAGATCAACCTGTCGGCGGCGACCCCTTTCGTGGGTCAGACTACATTTTAAAAAGGTCCTAACTGAGCCTTTGAATATAGATAAAGAATGTCTGTTCACGTACCGTATGTTAACTAAATGTAACATTGTACATTATAGTCGTGGTATATTCTTATTATTAGCATGTAAACATTATAGTTTGAATTTTAAATAAACAGTTTCCTTATTTATGGTTCTTAAATAGTTCCTTTTGTTTAAAATTAATGGAGTTTATATATTGATTTTGGTGAATTGTAACATGTATATTCTAAGCCGTGTATGTGTTTGTTTAGGGTTTTGCGCCGTGGCAACGACTAAAGTCATATAAAAACGTTGTCCGAATATGTTTGGGACACTGAGTGACAACTAATACACTTCAGTATCATTGACTGGACATTGTAGTATTACAATCAAACGGCCAAGTTATTTTGACAACTGGCGAGCCACAGGCGCTTTTAAAGACATCACCGAATAGACTAAGCAAGAAGGAGAGAAACTCAGTGCGTGAATTGCTTTATTTACATGATTTAAGTCAGTATCGTTCGTCACACATTAACTTAATGACGTAAAAGAAAACCTTACTTAACGAAATAATATGACATTCGGTATTAAAACATAAATCTAAATCAATACATACTCACATATCTGGGAGGTTATAATCCAGCCAGTAGGAAGAGTATACCCTATGCCACTCTATTCTTAGAATGTTATAAATGTAGGCCAGTATACAATTTCTGCGAAATGTTTACTGGTACGATAGGATAGTGCACACTGCACAATATGCATACAAATTTTGCAAAGATAACACTGTGTATATAGCACCACGATGAGCTCCATTCTAATCTATAAAGCCACCTACTTTAGTATCTATTACAGTGCTGCGATATCGTATTTTGCTGCACAACATAAAAAAACCTATCAGGTTGCATTTAAATCAATTTTGTATGGCCTTTGTTCAAAAAGACATGACTCTGTAGCGAGGAATATCGCAATTAAAAAACAAAACTGAACAAAACGAGCGAAATAACTTACATTTTTACAAAACATGATCATGTCAAATTCCCCTGTTCGTTCTCAAATGAGAAGAAATTGGGAGTTGTTGCCAGTTCTAAAATAAACGGTATGACCCCTTTAAAAGCAATATCTCCGACATACAGAAATTCCCAATGGACTTGAAGGGTTATTTTACCTGAAACCAATCAATAAGCTAGCTGTATGCAAAGAACGTAAGTAGGTATAACCCTTGGAAATCGAGGATGTAAATAGTATCTGGTTTTTTTAAATAGCACCGGGTTTGATACGCACTACTGCCGGAGTATATCCACATACTCTACATACAGTACTAATACATATACACATATATTGGTCTAAAAACCGTGGTAAGAAAAGATAGCCGGTGACATGCAAGGTTGTAAGCTGGTCTTTTATTTTTAATTCTAGTGCACTGACTGCGAATAACATTGAAATAGATACGGACTCCATTTACATGAACTCTTTAATTATGCATTTATTCAGTTTGTACCTGAAACACATGCGCTGCTTCATTACTCAAGGCGGACTCAGTTTATACCTATACAAAACATTATGTATATTCAAATGCTAACGAATTTCAGACATTAACTCTACGATCTATTTGACAGTAGATAATAAGAACTGGATCTTTTATTGATATTTTGGCCGGGAGCTCCAACACCAAGTTGGATTAAAATCAACATGTAGAGGCCTTGGGGGGTAATTGTGGGAAATTGATTGAAAAGGAGAACAGTTTTTGTTGGGACAATAAAACAACAGGATAATATCACTTAGTGTCAACAAAATATGTGATTCTAGAAATAATAAATCGAAGACAAGTCAGGTCATGATCTCAAAATAACGACCGGGGAAGTGAAAACGAAACAACAAGGCAAACTAATAAGGATCAATATGCATAATTGAAAGCGTCGATTTTCATATCACACAAAGAAATAAAATAGTATAATGTTGACTAGTTGATAAGCCTATTGTCTTCATCAATCTGCATCTCTCGAATATCTGTGTCATACAACTGTCCGTCAGCAGGCGGTATCTGTCGCAGATTGCATGATATTCAGAGCAAGCTCTTGAATAACGTATCAATTGCGACATGTTACCAACGTTAACTGGTGGAACGGCGAGGTTTCTATAACGACAAGGAAAACTCACGATCGGAAAATCGCCCCGCTTATCATACTGTTTGTTAGTAAGCCGTCCCTGTTGGCCATGTTGGTAAAGATCAAGGGAAATGGCGAGGCTTTATTGTTCTTGATTTCAAGTTAAGGAGGTATAGTCGATATATCTGAAAGTGAACATCGAGGAGTTAACAAAGAAAATTATTACCAGGTCTGAAAGGATCTTCGATAAATTCAACCTCAACCAGAAGAGGGGCACAGTTTGCCCCATAAGAATGCCACAGTCTGCTCGAAAATCTTCTATCTATACCCGTATCTCTTCTGAGACTTCGATATTTATTTTATGCAAAACATGCTTCATCAGAAAGCTTAAATTCATGCATTAATATCGTCGTTGACTTTTCTTTTAAAAGAAATTCTCCTGTATAACAGACCGATTACGTTCCTTCTACTTGGTGTTAGATATGATGATCTGACAGATGAAACTTTTAAGAAGGAGACCAAGATTGATCAAAAAGACTTTTTGAGTTTTCAAAATCCACATTCCATAAAATCCCTTATCTATGATATGCAGTATCCCAATACCACTGTAACCCTGATTAAATGGTTACAAGAATGGTACTAGAAGCAAAAAGTTTGGATAATCGTTGGTCCAGCAACTGCATGGCAGAGGCAGCGAAAATAAAGTTGACAATAAGGATTCTTGTAAAGTTTCTGAAACCAATATCAACTCGGAAGCTCCATACCCTTCTTATTAAAAAGCATTCGGAAGTACTGTCATGTACAGAAGCTTGATAAGCTAGATGAGTCGAGTATGGTTTCGACATCTGGGTCGGGAAAAGACTTGTGTTTTCATTTTTAATTCCAAGCTGCTGCTTTTTTTCTGAATGATTGACCAGATTGATTTTACACACTCTGAAAGTGAAATTAATTTAGCTTTTATTTTCGTTTTGTTCATTGTCTGGCATAATCTTTGACAGAAGTCGTCAGTATCTTGAAATTCACATTCCAAATGATATCGGCCAACTTGTCGGACATGAACTGGTGATCACTGCTGACCAATATGTCCATAAACTCGCACTATTCAGGCTACGCTAAACAGTAACAACAATATGAGTTCCAAATCAGCATCCAAACGCAAACCGGAAGCCGAATACATTAAGGGGCACCTCAAAGAAGCGAAGCAACGCTTACAACGTTGTCACCTACAATGAACCATGTAAAATGTCTGAAGTGATTTTGTCAAAGTTTCATTCCAGGTATGTTAACTTTTATCAGATTTCATTCAAGACTAGACCGTGAATTACCTAAGCCTTGGAATGTTTCACATCTAATTATGTTTAAATGTCTTTTAACCATGTTTCAGCAGAGAGGTCTACACTAACAATAAACTGGTACACGGAAGAATGAGATCCAACGTTCGCTAGTGCTGTGTTCATTGAAGCCTAAACGGAATTCACTTGTCAAGCCATAAGAGGAATCGAAATTCAACAGAAGAGAAGACAGATGACATTAAATAAACCTATACCTGTAAATTATGTCTGATTATGTAATTGTCCCTAAAATAAACCATTATTTCTCCATTGTTTCCTTTAGCCCAGATTTGCTTCCTGTATTATCTTATACCCCTGCAGGCCCTGACCCTCTACCAACCTAACTAAAAACGTTTAGACAACACTTTTTGGCAGAGCCTAAATTATAACAAGTGGCCTAGAGGGCCTGTATCGCCCACCTTGATATCTAAGCAATCATGGCAAAATGTTCTCCAAATAAGATCCCAGGGATAGGGCAAGACCCCAAGGCCAATCCTTGTAGCATATCTGCATTAGATTTTTCATGCCCAGCAAGTGTATACATGTATGGTTATCGGGTGGGGATCTCAACCGTTTCAAAGTAATGACCCTGGGACTAAGTCTCCAAGGGTGGGGCGAGACCCCAGCGCCATTATGGAAGCAAATGTGCATTAAAACTCCTTATACTAAGCAATTGTATATATGGTTATTGGGTGGGGTTCTCAACCATTTCGAAGTAATAAATTATTTGTGGCCCCACCCTTTAGCTTGGAGAGGGCAGCCTGTCCATTTGTACAATTGTTAATCCCCACCCACCTAGGGATGCTTCCAACAAAATAAAGTCAATATCCATCACAAAGTTAAATAGAAGTCGCTTAAAGCAAAATAGCTAAATTACCCTTTTCGGCCCCCAGCATTCAGTTCCCTGGGGTGTCAACCCAACCACTTGTACAATTTTGAATGCCCACCACCTAGGGGTGCTTCCAGTCAAATATGGTTGATATCCATCACTAAAGGGTGTCAGCCCCATCATTTGTACAATTTTAAACCACCACCTAGGGACTCCACCAGTGAAATATGGTTGAAATCCATCGCTTACTTCCAGAGAAGAAGAAGTCACGTAAAGCAATATAGCCAAATTATCCTTTTTGGCCTTCACTTCAGCCCCTGGGGGGTGGCAGCCCTACCATTTGTACACTTTTGAATCCCCACCTCCCATGGATGCTTCCAACCAAATATGATTGATAACCAGTGCTAAGTACTAGAGAAGAAGTGGTTTATAGCAATATAGCCAAATCGCCCCCTTTGGCCCCGCCCCTCAGCCCCACCATATGTACAATTTTGAATCCCCACAACCTAGGGATGGTACCAGTCAAATTTACTTAAATTCCCATCAGTGGTTATGAAGAAATTGTTTGAAGAAATTGTTGACGGACGGACGACGGATGCAACGGTAGGCATAAGCTCATCTTGGTCTTTCAGAACTTAAAGGTCTTCTAGTTGAATGCCAAATAGTCAAGTATATTTTACTTGTAGGCCTATGGCAGAATGTAACAAAGCGCTGGTGGAAAATATCAGTATTCTGCAAAACTCGTAAAAAGTATATGGCAGTCAACAGGATATCATTTTATATGATCCTGTATTTCTTTTCACCTTAACAGTGAAAGAAAAAACAACACAATGTACAAGATATATTTTGTTGTATATTTATTAAAAAGATTTACATTGCTGAAGTCTTAAATACACTAGGTATCCTTTACAGACCTAATAACAGTAATTACCACCACTTGAGTGAATGCCTCTTACTCTCCCCTAGTTTAATGTGTAGTTAGTACTAGCAGGTATGTCATCGCAGAATTGTTTTTAGCCAAAGTTATTAAATAAATCCAAATAGCTGACTTCATGTTCTTACATACAGCCAGTAAAGTGTCAAACGAAATAGCATTAAAACAAATCAAGATTTAACTGCATCCATATTAAAGAAAATTACATATTCCCATTCTACATCATAACTGAGGTATTATTAAATTGTAAATCAAATGATGGCATTTCAGAGACAAATTCGGATTTTAATTTACAAATTGTGATAGTGCTGTCTTTAGAACTAATTTTGCGTAATGTGTTCGATGTTGCAAAAATTTAAACATAAAAGAACGCCATTCACAAACCGATTTTATGATAGTACAATTACTAATTGCCATAAAACGAAGACTAATTGCCCAGCAAGAACATGAGTAGTACTTAACTAATTCTGTTTAACCTGTTCAACCTGCATGCCAGGCATAAACATCTAACCACGCGTGGCAAGTATAGGTTTCTCTCTCAGCCGTCGTCTCGTCACTCCACAATGGTGAACGAGATTACCACCGACATATACATCTAAATAAACTCATACCCACTAAACAGTCGTCTAACTGCTAGTCAACAATACATACATGAAGGGACAAAATGTTTAAAATACCCTCAGTTAATACAGTGAAATCAGTCTCTCTGAAAATCAGCATAAAAACCTTTTAATATTTTACCGCTTTGTTTTTGTCAATGCAAGGGAGATTATTCATGACCCAAATGAAAATATTGATGTATACAAAAAAAGATAACTTTAATATTTTTATATATTCAACATTTTAAATTGTCTCTTATATCCTGATTAACACTTAGCTCTACATGGAGTAAACATTCTTTGTTTATAGGTATTAGCTATGGATGCTTTGAATAAACCGTCCCTGATCAGAAATGTGCCATGATTCAATACACATCAAACTTTCATATAGACGGGGACCCCGTGTTGGTTTTCATGTTACGTACTAGTGATGAGAAAATATATCCTATATTCTGGCAACATATTAACTTGAGATATAAGTCCTTAAATACCTGTGTTAATAGATCTGGAATGATATTTTGTACTGCATGCAAGGGGAAATTTCAACAGGATACAGGTAGAGAGGAACCTGTTCCATATTTGGTAATTAAACAATAATGACACCTATTAAGGTAACGAGTCGAGTAGTCATTAAGTGTCTTTACTAAGGTCTCGTTCCTTTAAAACAAAACATACAAAAATAGCAGTTTGTACAATATATCTTTTTCTTTTTATATAATTAGATTTGGATTAACATGCAGAGTAATCTGGTAAGAGTAATCAATCTAGTACAAACATATTAATTTAATACAGGTGAATCTTGTTAGTGCAGAAAATCTGAAGATTTCTGACAGATAAATTCAGCTGGTTCTTCTCCGTTATTTTGTAATTGATATGATTTAAAACTAGCATCTGAAAAAGCTGTCTGTACTAAAAAGATTCCACTATAAAAAATTCTGGAGACAAATTAATAGTCTGGCCGGTGTCCTATACTCACACTAGTACTGTTACAAAAGTTTTTAAACATGGATTTTAAACCTTAAAATAAATTTCAATGTATATGATAATTGAATACTGACAAAATTTCCTGATATATTTTGGATAATTTAAGCAGCACAAGTGAGAACAGATTGTTTTGTCATTTTAAATAGATTTATTTTTTTACATAAAAGAATAGAATACAGGATTTCGAAGTATGAAGTTGTGATTATCAATTCATTCATATATATTACAATAATTTGGAGCAGCACAAATCTGTTTCTCTCAACGCACCATTTTGTTTTGACAGAAATAACTTGCATATCATAACTTTCTGTATGATTTTTAACAGTCAAATTTGAAGTTAAATTTGAATTTGACGTCTTTGCCCTCTGACCTTGTACAGGAAACAGCAAGATTCACACTATACATTGCCTGGCCTATCAAAAATGATTGTATCTAGATTATATCTGTACATAGTCAACACGTCGCTGTGTTAGAAAGAACTCAACACAGAAACGTTTATGTGGAAACACTTTTAAGGAAATGAAAATTAATCTCAAAGAATGAGTTTGGATAGTGTAAATACTAATTATTAAATTAAAGAGCAAAGGCTGAATAAAATCAAACAAGTGCTCACTAGTGGGTATTAAGGTTATAGCTAAAGTTCAAGTCACGGAGGGTATTAAGGTTAGCTAAAGTTAAAGGGTCAAACGTTAAACAAAAATTACATAGTGTTCATCTGAAGGAGAGGTCTCCAAAAAAGAAGAAAATAAAGTATCTTTATCAATTTGTAAGCAAGATTAATTGAAACAGACGTACCCTCATCTGGTTTGAGAGGGCATTCTAATTTCAAATGACTTTTAATAGAAATTCTCCAAGATTTAATGGCATTCTAATTTCAAATGACTTTTAATTGAAATTCTCCAAGATTTAATGCTCTGTATAATATGTGTGTAAATGACATTAAATCCTATAAATTGCACTTGAGTTGCATCATATGCCCAGACATCATATCGTAAAATTATCAACAGTGCAAATTTGTTCAACTTTTATCCATAGTTGTCCCTAAACGATAAATAAATTCCCAAAAAGTGAATAAATCTTAACATCATTCTGTTCCAGTCATTCTTAGATAGGATATTTTTTAGGGCGACATTGCTTATGTAATACAAATATGCATTCATGAAGAATCAGTACAAATTAAATATCACAGTAGTGAAGAATTCTCGAGTAAGCTGGTCTTGCCAATTATCTAAACGATTCGGAAAGGTTTTCGTGCGCCCACGGCCAGGATCCTGACATACCAGTGTAACCTCCATTTCTCTGTCTGGCAAGCCTTGATATACAGCTGACGTCCTCGCAGTCCTGTCCCTTTTGTTCAGCCATTTTTGTTTCCACTAAGCACATATCAGACCACAGAAGCTCACAGGTCTCATGCCTTGTTCTTGGATATTTGGCTTCCTATTTGATATCCAACTATTTTGTTCCAGTCTATTTTTGCCCTTGTTACAGGTAGCTGTCTCCGAAGAGCTTTGAATGTTGTATCCGACATCGTCTGGTAGTTTTCACCTATGGCGTTCTGTCAAACGTGAGAAAATGAAAGTTTGATTAAACAATAAACTACATAAATTATATTAACCCTTTCACCGCTATGTAACTTGAGTAGACTCTACCATGCATTGATCTGGATGAGTCCATTATGGTCTACAGTGGTGAAAGGTTAAGTCATCTTGTGTATTAAAAAATCAGAAACAAGAGTTTTCTTATTAATTCTACCAATTAAACAGGACCCAACTACTCCATAGCAATTAATCTGTTATAATTGTTATATTACCGTCAAAAATTACTTCAGATTTCAATGTTTCTTGCTAAAGCAAATATCTGACTGTCTTGGGCAAACTTCATAAGTGTGAAACAGATCAATTAACTGGTTTCAGCCATAGGGTCGACCCAAAATACGTTTCAAGCTTTAGGTCAACAACTGAATAATTAAAGAACATAATCTCATTAACTATAGTCAGCAACTTGGAAAAGAATTATATAATGATAAGAATATTAACAAAAAAAGTTTTTCTAAAAAATTATTAAAACAGAAACATAAAATGCTATAAGATGAAAAATGATTCCTCTTTAAATGAAGTAGATTTGGAAAACATCACAGATGTTAACTGCAACAAACCTGATATTCCTGTTCTGAGTCTCGGACCAAATTTATAAAATCCTTGGCTGTTTGTTGTTCATTCTGAGAAAAAAATACAAAGAATGAAACTGTTATATATTAATCTGCAATTATCTTGTTAAGTACAACATTTTTATGAACGCTAGTACTATATTCATCAGCAGATTGAAGTTTCAATGCATGTATTTGATCATTAAACAGAAAAATTCCAATTAAACTATAAGGAATATTAAACATGTTTGAGACAGAGCTACATACTAGTAATAATTGCTAGACACAAATCACTGTTTGATTGTCATAGAGTACACATCTTAATGGTCCAACAACACTGTATGGTCATACAGGATCTAATGGTAAAATATCAGTAAACAGTAAGCTTGAGCCAAGAATATCGGAAGTAAACAAGAGTACCATGGGGCCTGCATGTTGTCCATCTGGCTTGTTATAACTATTACCTATTCAATAATACTTGACCCCATGTGAAACTTAAAATCAAATTAAAACGATTTTATTCAAAGCTTATAGCCTTTACCCTATTAAGCCACAGGCTGGATATCATAATCTAAAGTCTCCTAGCATGTAAGAAGAAATGTTTCAAAATTACTTTACTATATATTTTCGAATACATTTGTGAAAGCCATTTATCTGGCAATGTACTGGCAGAATACCATGATCCTATACCTCTTGGTTCATCAGAAAAATTGTGTTTGCAGATTTTAACACATTTGACTTCTGCTAACTGGAACAATTTTTATAGCCTAGCAATGTAAAGGCCAAATATTACGATCCCATACTGTTTTATTATTAAGAAAATGTATCTTACTTAAATTTTTTGAAACATTGTACCCATGTGATCATGAATGTCTTTTGTGGGTCTTTTGTGGGTAACAATAGTTTAAAGGAAGGGCCTTGATTGTCTCTCATCCCACAAACTATAGACATAATATTATGACACTAGATCTCCAGGTTTTTTATATCGAATTAGAAGAAATCAGAGGATCGGTTATGTTTTGGAATGGTATACTCAACTTTATGGCAAATATGTATACATTTCAAATATATATTACTGAATAAATTTTAGACGTGGCATTTTTTCTGCCTATAGGAAAAAGCCTCAGGATGTGTTAAGTGTAAATACACGAAGTGATGGACTCATCACTACCTACCGTCACGTTTAACGTCTTCTTAACCTCCTTTGAGCTCACTAGTTGTACATTACCATCTTCGTAATAGTGTACCTGTTTGTAAACATCAACAGAATTCAGGAATAGAACAAAAGACAAGATGTGGATTGTTTCAGACTTTAAGGCAAAAAAGCAAATATCAAATCATGATTTTGACTATTGTACTTTTCCCATTCACACGACTGGATCATGACATAATGTCTAAATATGAAGTTAACCTAACAGTTACTTCATAGCAATTTAGCAAAGTAAGGGAAACAACCCAATACTGTTAAATGTATTTTTAGTTCTTTCAGTATATTCGAGTTTGTTTCGTTACATATACATCCTCATGACAAACTTTTTACTTTACTACATACAACATATTTATAACAAGATCTTGTGATTCTGTTTCTGTCAATATCAGGGCCTTCAAAATACTCTCAACAGTATGTTTTTGACTCCCCAAAATGAGCTTTGACTATTAAGGTTTTAAAGGACAGGTCTACTTGAAAAGTTCTGACTTAAAATTTCAGGGAAAATGGTATTTGACTTCTGAAATTACAAAATGCCAAGGGAAAACTGGAAGGGCTTCCAGTTGTCCCTTGAACAACAAGTCCCTTGACCCTGAAGTTTAAAGTCAGAACTTTTCAAGTTATGACTGGCTGCGTTACCCTTTCACTGCATGCTCTATGAATTCACCCACCTGAACTTTAAATACCCCTGTGAGGTCAACTTTACCCCCAGAGCTAGGAAAGGTCAAGGACCACTGGGACCGCCATCTACCATTCCTATAAGGCAAAAAAATGAAAATTTAAAAAATGAAGTTCTTGCAACATTTAAACACAATCTTGTTCTGATTCACATTTCCCTCATTAACTAGAAATGCAGAGCTAACACCCTACAGTGCTTATTTGGGAATAAAACACTCAAATATGACATCTGCTGACAATGATCAAATTTCATAATTTCTTTTTATCATACATATTCAAAAGGAATGAATTGAATAAATCAAACAATTTCCCCAATAAATTATTTCAAACTAGATCTCGGTCCCAACTCCAGTTAGGTAAAAAAACATACCACTTCTTCATATTACATCAGGCTGATCAGAGATATGAAAACACATGTGTTTGTGACATATGTGAATACACAACTCATATAAAACATAAGTGATATACAGTTAACTTTAACAAATAAAAAAAAAAAACGTTGACCTAACTGATTAGCTATCATTGTTTGACACAATGAAGACAGATGAAAATGTTCCTTCCTCTGCTGAACAAAAACTGTTTACCAGAAATTTTTCGGCTGGAACTGATGACTCTCTATACAGGCTATAATGGTTATGCTTCCTCCTTGTGCACTTCCGTAGACACTGACCACACCATATTTGTAATGTTGATCTCTGTAAGCGGACAGTGCAGTCTCTATTGCTGACCTCCAAGGCTCCACTGTTCGGTCGACTTCAACGTCTTGATAGTCGGATGCCTCTTTTTTCAAATGGTCATACCTATTACATATAGCAATGTAGGTTTGCATCAGTATTGATCATATTGCAGCTCAATGTCACGTAAATATAGGGGGATTTGTGGCAAAAGACATCTAGGGCTCCCTAATACTGCCACTAGTTTACTTCAAATTCAGTGACCCATATCTGTCATATCATCTCTTTATTATTTCCAAATTATTTATATCATTTGATCCTAACAAACAGTTTGCTATATTGCTCATACAGTGACCTAAAGGACAACAAATAAATAGCAACAAACGAAAGTCCAGGGTTCAAATCACAGTCGAGCCTCACTTAACCCTTTCAACACTGTAGACCATAATAGACCCATCCAAATCCATGTATGGTAGAGTCTACTAAAGTTACATAGGGGTGAAAGGGTTAATGTTTACACTCAAAACTTTATTATTGATTATCTTCCGTTTATTACATCTTTATTATTTCTCATAAAAGTACCATAAGATAGGATTTTATTTTCAGAAGCGACCTATCAAAACTATAGTCATGCCGATTTTTTTTTAGTTTCCAACACCTAATAATAGTTTTTGGCAGTGGTACAGGGATCCTGAAAAATTAGTATATTCCAGTCAATATGTCTGATAATATATAGGATTCTTCAAACCCGTATGGAAGTACCCTAAATATCAGCCTGTATTACCAATAACCCAACAAACACCGGGACATTTGGGTAAAATGAAGTGTACAAACCTGAATGATTTCTTGTTTCTTGGATCCACAAATCTACCATTACCTACATCACCATGATCAGATATTAAAACCTTCAAACAAAAAAAATGGTTGGAAACGTTATTAATCACCACATCGTAAGAGCAAAACAAAAAGGCATATTTGTTGTTCCATCTACATCAGGGCCAACTTGTTAGAAATCAGTACCCTGGGTGGGAAATTTCTATCCTCCATATTAAAATATGATAGCTTCATATCGGCATATTTGTGGTTCAAGCTAGACCCGTGTCCACTTGATCAATTTTAATTTCAAAATATTTTATTGTCAATACAAAAGAACAACAGATAAGAAAACCAATACACGTGATAACGAAAACAATACATGTGATAAAAAAATGGTTAGACAACAGGCTTAGCCTATATCAGTCTTTTAACTGTTCAATTTCAATTAAGTCACACTAGTAAATTTTCAAAAATACTGAAATTCAGGATTAAACTAGAGTGCATAGAGATACAAAATAATTGTCAAATGAAATTCCGAAATTATTTGTAAATCATTTTTTTCGGTTTGGCATTAAATGAACACAGTTAAAACCTTGATGTTATGCCACTAATTCATTCTGCCTCTTTGTTTATTACTGCTAACATATTTCTAGATCGTCTTTTCCTGTTTTCTTGCCTATCCCTTTACACTTCACCCTCGGTATATCAAGACACCCCCTTATAACGGCAGTACAACAAGGTTTAAGTGTGTATTTATTTTTCCTGTTAATTACCTGTTCCTCTGAATCCTCTACTTTACATGGTGTAAATTGGTCCTTGTTGTACTGAGCAAAGGCTCTGTGAAAAAGAAGGAAACAAAAGTAGTTATTTTATACACAGCTGTTCATGTACCAAGTTTAATCCAATTAATCGTTACCTAACAATCTTTCCATATACAGCCAAAACTCACTTTCCACACACACATCAAACTTCATTTCTACAGTGTAATTAAACCATGGCATCACATATAAAAATTGCCACACATCTGTAAAGGAGCATGTATCCTACATCTCGTTAAGTTATTCACCCCTGAATGCACATTTGAACTCTTCCAATTTTAATGTTGGAATAGTTCATTATGAAATTTCAGGGGTGAATGACTAAACAGTGCCAAGTTGTAACTCTGGCAATGTCAATGTCATTTTCTGACAATGAATTTCATTATATATATATGACATTGTTTATTAATTTCTAAATCCACATGTAAACATTTAAGTTTTATACAGGAAGGTCAGAAAGGCACTGAAGTAACAAAGATTTTCTTATTATAGTAGATGGTGACCTTGACATTGGCACCCTGAATCACAACTTGTTTCAGGTATTTTCATACTTCCCTATCGCACAAAGTTTGATCAAATTCTGTTAAAAAAATGAAGACAAATTTTCAATACAAGCAAACAAAAGGAGATCTGAGCTGATTGCTGGTTAGTGTTCACTCTCCACAGCGTGTGTGTGTGTATCATATTGTATGTTGTCTCTGTATTGTTTTGTATATATGTTATAACTGATAAGTCAATCGACTTAAAGTAATAAAGAACTTGAACTTGAGTGAGATTTGGTGCTTTGCACTATATTTTACCTACAAGATTGAAATCTAAAGAAAAATGCACTTCTCCGAGGTGAATGATTAGCCTTCCTATATATATATATAGTCACAACCAAACAAGATTAGTCAGAATTAGCCTTCCTATATATATATATAGTCACAACCATCTCCGAGGTGAATGATTAGCCTTGCTATATATATATGTAGTCACAACCATCTCCGAGGTGAATGATTAGCCTTCCTATATAAATATAGTCACAACCTTCTCCGAGGTGAATGATTAGCCTTCCTATCTATATATATAGTCACAACCATCTCCTAGGAGAATGATTAGCCTTGCTATATATATATGTAGTCACAACCATCTCAGAGGTGAATGATTAGCCTTCCTATATAAATAGTCACAACCATCTCCGAGGAGAATGATTAGCCTTCCTATATAAATATAGTCACAACCTTCTCCGAGGTGGATGATTAGCCTTCCTATATATATATAGCCTTCCTATATATATATATAGTAACAACCATCTCCGCGGTGAATGATTAGCCTTCCTATATATATAGTCACAACCATCTCCTAGGAGAATGATTAGCCTTGCTATATATATATAGTAACAACCATCTCCGAGGTGAATGATTAGCCTTGCTATATATATATATAGTCACAACCATCTCCGAGGGGAATGATTAGCCTTCCTATATAAATAGTCACAACCATCTCCGAGGGGAATGATTAGCCTTCCTATATAAATATAGTCACAAATATATATATAGTCACAACCATCTCCGTGGTGAATGATTAGCCTTCCTATATAAATATAGTCACAACCTTCTCCGAGGTGGATGATTAGCCTTCCTATATATATATATACACAAAACCAAACAAGATTAGTCAGAATTAGCCTTCCTATATATTTATATAGTCACAACCATCTCCGAGGAGAATGATTAGCCTTCCTATATAAATATAGTCACAAATATATATATAGTCACAACCATCTCTGAGATGAATGATTAGCTTTCCTATATATATATAGTCACAACCAAACAAGATTAGACAGAATTAGCCTTCCTATATATATATAGTCACACCCATCTCTGAGATTAATGATTAGCCTTCCTATATATATATATAATCACAACCATCTCTGAGATGAATTATTAGCCTTCCTATATATATATATAATCACAACCATCTCCGAGGTGAATGATTAGCCTTCCTATATAAATATAGTCACAACCTTCTCCGAGGTGAATGATTAGCCTTCCTATATATATATATATAGTCACAACCATACAAGATTAGTCAGAATTAGCCTTCCTATATATTTATATAGTCACAACCATCTCCGAGGTGAATGATTAGCCTTCCTATATATATATATATAGTCACAACAATACAAGATTAGTCAGAATTAGCCTTCCTATATATATATATATAGTCACAACAATACAAGATTAGTCAGAATTAGCCTTCCTATATATTTATATAGTCACAACCATCCCCGAGGTGAATGATTAGCCTTCCTATATATATATATTCACAACCATCTCTGAGAGGAATGATTAGCCTTCCTATATATATATAGTCACAACCATACAATATTAGGCAGAATTAGCCTTCCTATATATATATATAGTCACAACCATCTCTGAGGTGAATGATTAGCCTTCCTATATATATATATAGTCACAACCATACAATATTAGTCAGAATTAGCCTTCCTATATATATATATAGGAAGGCTAATTCTGTCTAATATTGTATGGTGGTGTCTATATATATATAGGAAGACTATTCATTCATCTCAGAGATGGTTGTGACTATTTATATATAGGAAGGCTAATTCTGACTAATATTGTATGGTTGTGACTATATAAATATATAGGAAGGCTAATTCTGACTAATATTGTATGTTTGTGACTATATATATATATATAGGGAGGCTAATCATTCACCTCGGCGATGGTTGTGACTATATATACATATATAGGAAAGCTAATCATTCATCTCAGAGATGGGTGTGACTATATATATAGATAGGCAAATCATTCACTTCGGAGATGGTTGTGACTATACATATAGGAAGGCTAATCACTCACCTCGGAGATGGTTGTGACTATACATATAGGAAGGCTAATCACTCACCTCGGAGATGGTTTTGACTATATATATATAGAAAGGCTAATCATTCACCTCAGAGATGGTTGTGACTATACATATAGGAAGGCTAATCACTCACCTCGGAGATGGTTATGACTATATATATAGGAAGGATAATCATTCACCTCGGATATGGTTGTGACTACATATATATATAGGAAGGCCAATCATTCACCTCGGAGAGGGTTGTGACTATATATACATATATAGGAAGGCTAATCATCACCTCGGAGATGGTTGTGACTATACATATAGGAAGGCTAATCACTCACCTCGGAGATGGTTGTGCCTATATATATATATAGGGAGGCTAATCATTCACCTCGGATATGGTTGTGACTACATATATATATAGGAAGGCTCATCATTCACCTCGGAGAGGGTTGTGACTATATATAGGAAGGCTAATTCTGTCTAATATTGTATGGTGGTGTCTATATATATAGGAAGGATAATCATTCACCTCGGATATGGTTGTGACTACATATATAGGAAGGCTAATTCTGCCTAATATTGTATGGTTGTGACTATATATACATATATAGGAAGGCTAATTCTGACTAATATTGTATGGATGTGACTATATATATATATAGTAACAACCATCTCCGAGGTGAATGATTAGCCTTCCTATATATAGTCACAACCATACAAGATTAGTCAAAATTAGCCTTCCCATATACAGCAATCACCTGTTGCTCTATCTTACTGTAATAAATTTGGTTCCATAGTTCACAAACTTGAACAGACCTATTTCAGCAGCGTTTACTGTCAACAAATAGTTTGTACACGAAAGGATGGACTTTCATTTGAATCATGAACCAAATGTTGTAACACCATAATGTATTTCTTCCTGATATAATATATAGGTACCTTGATCAGTAATTACAACAGTACGGTCCAATATGGGCATTGAATCTGAACAAACAAATGGTCTTTGTATGTATATCATTATAAACAGATTATATCATTACGTAAGTAATAGTGACAGTGAAGACAAAGGAATTTGGTAAATTTCCGAGGCAATCTGCCCCCTATGAAGACAAACACATACAAAATGTAGCATGGTAGGCAGAAGTTCAATTAAACCAACAAATAATCAGGAAATGATTCATGTACTACAATTAGCAGGAAATTATTCATCCAGAAAAATAGGATAATTTCATATCTAACAGGAGGCAGACCTCCTACCATACATGTCATTGTTTTGCTTTTTTTTTTTTTAGAAAATATATAATGTAACATGTAAGGACAATTTAAGGATCAAATTGATGACCTAAAAAATATTTTTGGTTTATAGATTTCTTCTCGAATACTGTAAATATATTATTATTATATATAATTAGTTCAGTCAAAATCTGCCTCACACTATGCTTGCGCAAATTATAAATCAGTGCATTACATGAATAATACATAAGAGAAAATATTTTCACTTTAAAAAACTTTTACGAGTACTTATCTACAATAGGTGTATGTGATACCTGACAGATCTAGATTAAACATCTGATTCTTTTCTCAGAAGAGGCAGTCCACCGCATGGCTTATCAGAAGCAGTGACACTGAATTTCACTCCTTCTTATTAGCTATGCAACGGAGTGATTTTCTCTGAAGACTGAAGGAATCAACCAGTTTTCTGAAACTGTCAGGTCAAAATTTCTCCTACTGCTATGTATACTAGAATGTATCACGTGAAGAACAATGCAACCGACTACTTATACCTGATTAAGTGATACACATGTATCAATCAAATACGCCCATTGATAATGAGATACTAGTTAATGCTGTCCCTAGATTGTAGTGTATAGGAAATACAACATGGACCCTGACTACTGTTTGATGAGATACTAGCCAATGCTGTCCCTAGATTGTAGTGAATAGGAAATACAACCTGGACCCTGACTATTGTTTGATGAGATACTAGCCCATGCTGTCCATAGCTTGTAGTGTACAGGAAATACAAAATGGACCCTGACCATTGTTTGATGAGATGCTAGTTAATGCTGTCCATAGCTTGTAGTGTAGAAATACAACATGGACCCTGACTACTGTTTGATGAGATACTAGCCAATGCTGTCCCTAGCTTGTAGTGTACAGGAAATACAACATGGACCCTGACTATAGTTTGATGAGATACTAGCCAATGCTGTCCCTAGTTTGTAGTGTACAGGAAATACAACATGGACCCTGACTATCGTTTGATGAGATACTAGCCAATGCTGTCCATAGCTTGTAGTGTAGAAATACAACATGGACCCTGACTATCGTTTGATGAGATACTAGCCAATGCTGTCCATAGCTTGTAGTGTAGAAATACAACATGGACGCTGTCTATCGTTTGATGAGATACTAGTTAATGCTGTCCCTAGCTTGTAGTGTAGAAATACAACATGGACCCTGACTATTGTTTGATGAGATACTTGCCAATGCTGTCCATAGCTTGTAGTGTACAGGAAATACAACATGGACCCTGACTATAGTTTGATGAGATGCTAGCCAATGCTGTCCATAGCTTGTAGTGTACAGGAAATACAACATGGCCCCTGACTATCGTTTGATGAGATACTAGTTAACGCCGTCCCTAGCTTGTAGTGTAGAAATACATCATGGTCCCTGACTATCGTTTGATGAGATACTAGTTAATCCTGTCCCTAGCTTGTAGTGTAGAAATACAACATGGCCCCTGACTATCGTTTGATGAGATACTAGTTAATCCTGTCCCTAGCTTGTAGTGTAGAAATACGACATGGACCCTGACTATAGTTTGATGAGATACTAGCCAATGCTGTCCCTAGCTAGTAGTGTTTTGGTGACAGCAACATTGACCCTGACTAGTGTTTGATGAGATGCTAGCCTATCGCCTCATATATTGCTAGCTTGTAGTGTAGGGGTGATAGCAACATGGACCCTGACTATCGGTTGATGAGATACTAGCCAATGCTGTCCCTAGCTAGTAGTGTTTGGGTGACAGCAACATTGACCCTGACTAGTGTTTGATGAGATGCTAGCCTATCGCCTCATATATTGCTAGCTAGTAGTGTTTGGGTGACAGCAACATTGACCCTGACTATTGTTTGATGAGATGCTAGCCTATTGCCTTATATATTGCTAGCTTGTAGTGTAGGGGTGATAGCAACATGAACCCTGACTACCATCGCTATTTAATATTCATACCCTGATCCTCCTTCCTTCAGCAAATTATCATCATTCAGCAGAATCCTCACATCTGAAAATGAAAATGATCAGAATCTATAACAAATAAAGCTAACACTTCAAGAATAAGATCATGTTATCTTAATAGCAGAAAAAGATGAAATTTAAATTGTTCTTCTGTTATAATCCATGCGAAGAAATTGAAAAATTATGAATTCCCAAGAAGCAGACAAAATCATATACCGGTATAATATGGCCTTAAAGTTGTTAAAAATTAACATTTCAGTCAAACAGTTATAATTACCATATATATCCTGCAATAAGCCCAGGGGGCAAATACATAATCTCTAGATTCAGGCTTATAACAGGACAATATGAAATAACATTTGTATGATTTTTTATTCAACTGCAGTAGATTTGGGGTGGGCTTATATACACCATTAACTTACATATAAATTTGATTACACAGTTTGTTAGTGATTATTAATAGTCCTGTATTATTTAAAGAATATTTTGTGTTATACATACCATTAAAGACTTCATTAAATTCTCCAGGAGGGGCATGAAGAATGAAGTTTGTTGTTATGTTTATCTACAATAAAGAAACAAAACATATTTTTATATTTGAATTCTTCATTTTGTAATCAAATTACGTAAAAAAATCATTAAAAAAATCAGGTTTCAGTCATATTTTTTGGGGAAAGCAAAAGACTTCACCTGTAATGTATTTTCTCCAATCAAGACAAGTACAGATAATTATAAGTACATTGCATATTAACGTACATCTATTGCCCTTGATCGTTGTAGGGAAATATGATTAATTCCTAGATTTATTGTATTTCATGAGGGCAAAGCCTGAGTGAAACATGATTAATCAGGATATGATCAGAATCAGTAAAGATGATCAGGTTTTTGCACAATTGTTGTTGTCTGTTTCAGTTACTTGTAACTCAGTTGTGGTGTAGCTCTTGCCCATTTTTCTAGACTTGTANGGGGGGATGGGGGTATATATATATCGAGATCCAAAATATAATCCAATCAGATATGCTGTTATTTTCATGTAGATGAGGTATAATAATACATAAAGTAGATTAGAAATATACATTACAGGATTGTTTGTTTTAACAAAGAGAAAGCATCTGGACAAGAAAATGTAAAATATGAATTCAAGAAATGTAATATTGATACCTACTTGCCCTGAGCAATTTCTTGAAATATGCAAATGTTTTGCTAGGTGATAGTAGGTCAACTTACAAAGGAAATCAAACAATATATATTTCTGGTATAATCAATATTTTTATGCCAAATTTCACAAGATTTCTAAACTATAAAGCCATTTGGTAATGTGATACTGACATATCAACTTATTCCTTCAACAATATGCTATCAGTGGAATGTTGAACAAACACTTCAAAACAAGCAGAAAATGTCAAGAATTGTCATAAACATATATAATACATGCATTGTCTGTCTTTGTATTTCTCATAAATCAATTTTCAACTTGTTTCCTTATCGGTTTACCAATGACATATTTCATTTGTATATATCAATATGTCCATACATGTGATTGGGATTAAAACTAGTTTCCTGTATATGTATTATGTATATATACAATCCCAATGAAACTCTTATTAATAAAGTTTTGTAAATATATCAGATAGCAATAGTTAAATTCATAACGGTAGACATACAGCTATACAAAAGCATTGTATGATGCTTAGTTTAGGTTGGGTCATTTAAGACAATGAAAAGATTTATGTATGATAATACCTGATAATGTACCTGGGAGGTAAATTAAATCAGGTTATACGTTCATTTACAATACTCAAAGCTGTACATGTGTACATATATATACTGTAGTTTAATTGGCAGGGCCATATCAATGGACAATGAAAGGAGTCGTGGAAACAGATCAAGAGGTTATTCATTATACAATAAGTTGATATCCGTACTCAAACCCTAAGTTATTACAACTAGTAACAAGTCCTTCAAATAATAGCTGTCATATGACCACTTTTTTTCAAATCATAAAATGATGGAAATCACACAGGAACAAGTTAATTGCAATATTTATAATCTATATCCATTTCTATGAACATGATAATAAAGTTTGAACACTATTTTGATAAATCAGAAAGCATAAATATAATCCAAGTCTACCATAATGTATTTCAACATAGAAATAAATTCATACAATATGTAATCGGATTCAGTAAATGTCCAGGTTGTGGTGTGAACACACGTATGTTACATATAAAGGCTGAGGTGACTAAGAATCACAGGTAACTGTAACCGTTTATGATATACACTAGCTAGATATTCTAGGAGTGATGTAAATACACAAGATACCAGTTGTCTAGATCTCTTGCTCCAACGAAGTGTTGATGTGCCACATGTGTTAACACTATAAAGATACTGAGTGAGATGACAGATAGGAGCGCAACAGGTGTGACTTTCTTGATCTACCTATAATCATTGATAAGTCCTAGTTAAACCTACGTAAGGTACCTTTACACATATTTAATAACATTGACGCCAGACGCTCATTCAACATATGAATTGTATGGATATATCAGTGTCCAGCTAAACTAGGGATAGCTCTAGATTGCAATACTGAACATAACTAGGTGTCCATTTCTTGTATACATTGTAATAACACATTTTTATTTTATTTTTACATCATTGCCTTTACAAATTCACTATAATGCAATACTTTAGATAATAGTGGCCATATCATTTGAAGATTCATGTTGACCAAGTACCCATTAAAATTTCATATTTAAAATAAAAGCCTACAGACAGACTTTAATTTTTTTATAATAAATTTAAATATATTAAGTTTTTACTAGCCCAAACATAAAATCTGCTCGCCCCAGGTATCAAGCTGATGAACTTATATTTATATATATTACACATCAATTTATCAAATAAAATATTGTTTTACCTAAATATTTTAACAAAATATCCAATATAAACACCTACCTACAACTTTCAGTCTTATACGTCATGACAGCAAGTGTGTTATGGAGCTACCACGTCCCATACTTGCCAACTCTCCCATTTTTGGAGGGAGATTAATTCCTGATTTTTGACCGGTTAAAAAGATCTATATTGTATTAAATATCTTAATAGTTATGATAACCCAACATTTTTTTTCAAATTCTGCATATAATTCAAGCCTCTTATGAGTATAATGTTATCAAAATATTGCATAATTGTTGAAAAAATGAATCCTTACCCATGCAAAAACTCTTACGAAATTAACCAAGTCCATATTGGGGAAAAAATAGAAACAACCGCCATGACAGATCACGTGTGATGTTATCTAAATTATCCTGTCTATATATGGCCTGCATGACCAAATATAGTATTGCTACTGATGCCGCCATGTTTACTACAATTTCCATATTGGGTCATGACACCCACATTTGGACGTCTGACCTATATCGGAAGAGAGACAAACTTTCCAACACGGCAGTTAATTCAGATTTTTGATAGGCAGCGTTTAACTTCAAGTTGTGCAGGATATCAACAGAAATAGTTCATACTACACCCCTATTTATGGATGCGGACCAATGTGCTGTCAATTAATTCTAAAATCGCCCCTGTGTGATTCACACCGGGCTTGCTCCATTACAAGGTATGGGATCAATTAAATACCAGGCCGGGGCAGAGTAGGCTGGAAATTAATATTAGTACTATTCTGACATATGTATAAGATTCAAATGATGGTCTTTCGATCCCCTTTGCATTTTGCTCTTGTTACAGCGGTGCCTGTGACAACATCTTGTTTCAAATAGTATAAATGCACGCTCAACAGCAAAGGGATAATCATGCAAACTTGCACTGTAACAGGAGAAGGAATTTGAAAATGCCAGACTTGGATTGAAATCTTGACCTGGACCTCTAGTTAGACACTACTGTAGCCGAAAGAGCTACATATGCATGTACCTTTAATTGTCATCAAGCTAAATCCTGAGCAACCACACAGCAGATCTTGTGACTAACAGCCTTATTTTCTTGACTTTTTTTCAGAGCCAAAAGTAAAATGAGAACAACGGGATATCAAATTAAAAAAAAAAAAATAGATTTTTTATTTGAAATTTGAATGAATATTTTACTCGTTCTCGACGCAGAGGACATCGTTGTTTTTTGCCAACTTCATATGTTGAATGATATAAATTGTTTTGAGCACGATACGTTATTGCAACGTCGTGACATTGAATAGACCTATATAAAGATCAAACATTGATCAGAATTTACAGATTTAGTAGAAATCGTCTACTTCCTGTCGTATTCAAAGTACAATACACAGTATAATCGTATGGTCGAATAATTTAACAGAGGTGAAATATAAAACTGGATTTCCATATAAGGTGCTTGCTCGAATTGTAACTTGATGATGACTCACTAGCTAGAGTTACATGGTGATCGACCTCTCGTAAATGTGGTGATTACATCAAAACTATTGAAAGCGGAAGTGATCAGGAAAATAATCATCACAAACCGCTTTCAAAGTTTGACAGCATTTAAACATTATATGCATTAAACATGTGTTTTTACCAAATGACAAGAATTACATGGACATATTATCACTGTCATTTATGAAATTGTATCCTTAAATCTATTAAATTTATGAGAAATTACCTTCTCTTGATCGGAGATGGGTTCACCGAAATCGGCCATCTTGCTCGGCTGTCAGTCACGCCTTCTAGCGGATCATGGGAATCTCATTTTCCCTGAGATTAATTACTCGTTATAAATTAGTCAACAATTTCAGATTTAGAAACTTGAAAATAATACTTATTCCAAATCAGATATGAATAAGTTTGAGCGTGAAATTATAAAAAGCATTTTTATTTTACAGTTGAATCAAAGTCACGTTTACGTTTTACGATATCATATCTGTCAAGCATATAAGAAACACCGAAGGCTTCTTTAGTTACTACTGCAAGGTGCTTGAACAATTTTGTAATTTTAGAACACAATTTATGCCTGCCACCTGTTATATATGGCTTCGGATAGACCGATCCATTGTACCATAAAGAATCCAGTACTTCTTAACATCGCAGATGCGAAGAATGAATTTCATTCTGGCTGCAGAGTCATCGATATTACCTTTCCAAATGTCACAAACCCAGAGGTACAGTATCTGACATGACTAGTGAGAGAATTTTAATGTGAGCCAGACTGACAGAGATTATTCCGGGAATAATATTCCCTAAATTTTATCTTATTACTCGTTGTCTCAAAAGACTTATACTGATGAAATTTTATGAAAACATGATCTGAAACTCAAAGGCCATTTCTGTAGTCTTACTTGCACTATTAAATTAGACAAACATCTAGTCCAATATTTATCTTGTTAATAAAGATACTTTTTACCTCTACCATACTTTATTTTCCTAACAAAGTGCACGTTCATAAGAAACAATAGTGACACACTTATAGTTGTACATATCAGGAAAAAGGGAGATATTTAAGGCTAAAGTAAATCAAATATTGAACAGAAACTAAATATTATCAGTTGGTAAATATTTGTGTGTTATGACTATGCAGATTCAGTTTTTCAGTTTTTTCTACTACATCCTAGGTTCCATATATTCAAAATACCACTGAATAAAAACATTAAATATACATTTACCAGTATGAAACTGACATAAACAGATGTAGCGGAACTGGACTAGGTCAATCGTCGGCGACCAGGTTGAGCTTCCGTCTAGAGTTCGGAGGGTTCCGGGTTAAAACCCTTGTCTAGTCGTACATTTTTCCTCCCTAGTAACACAGATAAATTTGCAAGATTGTTTTTATTTTTCACTAATAATGAATTATTGAAAATTTAAATTCTTAGGTGAACTAATATAAGCAAGATTGTTTCTGGCTAGTATTTGTATTACATGTATTTACACTTTAAATCAGATTATCTGCAATTACAGGGCAAACACTTTTTTACTCGGTTATATATATAAGTATTGGAAACAACTATTCTTGGATGCATTGTACCATATATGCTGCTATTTGTGAGGGTATTTATGTGTATAGCTCTTGACTAAAACTCCAAATTATTGCCAACTCTGGATCCCAACACTTTCATATGCAATGAATAAAAGCTAGCAAAACATATAACCAAGATAGCATTTTCGCAAAACCGTCAATATATCTTCCATCATAATACTTAAATTTAATTAATGTATAATTTAAGAATGTATTTTAGATTTACACAATTTGTTTTCTGCTGAACAATTTACACAAACCATTTAAAAAAAATCATACTGTATTGCATATTTGAAATTCAACTTTTAAGGCTGCCATGAAATGAAAACCTTTTGTAAACATCATGCAGAATATACCTGTAACTTGTCTTTTTCTCATATCTTCATGATTTTTGAATCACCCTAATATAAATCCTTTTGTTTCCATCTTTCTTTTACAGAGCACAACCATTCTATCTATCTGTGACAGGGTAATTTTTTCGTATCTCTTTGTCTCACACCTTGGTGTTATAAGTTTATTTCAGCCTTGTAACATTTGGTGGTAAGATCAAGATATAATACGGGCTTCATATTCCTTATTAATATATAACAATTCAATTTGGACATTGGGACTGACTGGGTCATACTTATAATGACATTTATGTAGCGTGATTGCAGAAGATCAGGTTAACAGATTTCAAATGATATGTCCTTGTCATGAATTTGTTTAAAACCAATTTGGGTCTTATAATATTTGTTGCTACTCATTTAATATGTATCTTCTTATGGTAATTAACTGTGGCCTGTTGTATGTTGTTTGTCAATCATGGATGTTGATTGATTCAGCTGTTAAAAGTATGATTATGTTTGTATTGTTTGTATACATGTATACGTAGTATGTACAATCTCTATGTATGTTATATTCATGATGAGTTTACCTGTATAAAGTTTATAGACAAAATTGTTTCATACTTCATGTATAAGAAGTTGAATTCCTTCCAATTCAAAAGTTTAAACTTGTTTACCGATTGTTTTGATTATATAAATTTTATTGATGATAATATGAATATCAAACATATTTATTTTGAAACAAGTGATATTTTACCTATCGAGCCAATTAACATTGTTTGCATGATTATCTCCCCTTTATCCTTGAATTGATGTGTACATTTGTGGTTATTGCCTGGTAAATCCTTGCACTAAATTATTGTTTAGCGTCTGTTCGTACGTCATCAACTGTTCGCTTTAAACAACTTAATAACCTAGAGGCCTAGAGTGATAATATTGGTCAGTATACGTAGCATGCTGAGATGAATGACCTTCACCAATTTTCAAGGTCAAAGGGTTAAAGTGGCTAAAAGACCTTTAAACAATTTCTTCTTAAAAACTAAGAGGCCTAAGGTGTGCAAGGAGAAATGGGTATCAAGTTAGATGATCAGTAAACTTGATTCATATTCAAGGTCACAAGGTTCAAATATGTTTGTTCAAATGAATGACCTTTATCCATATTCAAGGTCTCAGGTGTCAATTTGAGTATACTCAAACTTGTTAAAAATGTTTAACAACTTCTTTATATGGTTATCTAAGAGGCTTTAGGGTGATGATATTTGGCTAGTGACATGCTAGGTAAAATGGCTAGCATTAGGGTGTTCAAATGAATGACCTTGATCCACTTTCAAAGTCACACACCCAGATGTGCATAAACCTTTAAACAACCTTTCATTAATAAATGAAAGGTCCAGGGTGATGATATTTGGTAAAAAGTATGCTTGGAAGAAGGGCTATAAAGTTTGTTCAACTTAATGAACTTGTTAGACTTTTAAGGTCGCAGGAATACAATATGTTAAAATCTTTTAACAAGTTCTTTTGAATAACTTCGAGTCTTTATATTTAAGTTACTGATATTCTACCTGTTACATATATAGCTTTGTTTTAGGGTTTGATACCAAGCAAGTGATGCAGGCCCATTGGGACTCTTGTTGATGGTGATCTCGTTATACTTAGGATAATTTCAGATATGGATAATTGGATATAGAAGCAGGGAAACATTTTCCATTGATCTAAAACAAATGTGATAGTGGGTACAGCAGGATTAAAATAATAAAATTTGCACAATTTGCATGCTTATGAATGGTGTATGGTTGATATCAGAGAAATGATTCACAGATTACTCATTTGGTTATTCCAGGGCATTAAATATTCAAAAATGATTAGATATCAAAATAAAAGATAAAACGACAATTTAAATGATAATAAACAATAATAGTTTGAGGTTCTTATATTCCGCTTTACCATGACCTAGATCGTAGGTCGTCTCAAAGCAGTTCACAAATTAAACATATCAATAGTTTAAAAAACTTCTAACTTTTCGAAAGGACATTTTTTTAGAAAATGAATGCATGAAGATTTGGAAACAAGCAAACTGTTTGAACTTTGGCATATCCTACCTCAGTGGCTTTCACTTGACAATGCCAATACTTGAGAGTGCACAGGAAATGATAGAAAATGTTGTGATCATTTTGCAATCTTTTTATAGTTAATATACGTACAATGTAGATTATTGTTTTATCAATTTCACATGCTTGTATCACACCTGTGTCACTGTAAGGTCACATAAATGTTGTACACTCAAGCAGGTTTAATTATCTTGTAAGAATCAATTTGTACACAAACTAAATGCTTAACCCTTTCAACACTGTAGACCATAATGGACTCATCCATATCAATTAATGGTAGAGGTTATTAAAGTTACATAGGGGTGAAAGGGTTAATTTTATTTGAAACCTTGTGAGATGCAATGAAAATCAGTACTTGTTCAGTAATCTGCAGTTTCCTTTAGGACATGTTATGGAAAGTTCTTACTGATGTCAATGATAATCGACTGTTTATGATTTACCTGTTGTGTCACTCGATCATTGGGTAAAGATCACTGATATTCACCCACCATCATCAATTGATGGACTGATCAATACACTCTTCATCTGATTGGAAAAACAAGATAGTCACCAGCCAGCTGCCATCTTGGATTTTGAGAATTCAAGTTTGTTATCGCCATTTATCAAGAAGTTAACATTAAACAACGACCTCACTTTGAAAATACACTCTCAAACCAAGTAGTATTGAATTTCTAATCAAAGTTTAGAACAAGATACATTTACTGTTGACAAGAGTATCAATCCAACCATAAAAGAAATGAAGGGAAAAGATCAAACTTATGAAGATCTTACGATGATGGGCTTCAAGATCCCTTTCAGATCTCTTGTTAATATTTATAGAATGTTATCACCCATTTCAACGAGATCACTCAAACCACTTCATTTGTTGGTAGTTTTGATTAGAAAATATACAAAGGTCATATACTTTGCACTTCTGCAACATTATTTTGAATAATTATTAAAATGTTTCAACTCCCAAAAAATGACCTGGAACCCAACTACTGGTATACTTCAATTGTTTTTATATTAATTCTGAGATATTTCCTTTAATTTAACAGAAAAATAATATTTGACAACTCTTTACCTTCCGTCTTATAGGAAAGAAGCCAACTGCTGATGTATATGTTTGTACTGCAGAAGATTATTATTGAGTTTTAAGTAACTTGATTTTATGTACTGCCAAGTATACTATCTTTTCATTTTACGTCCTGCTATGCTTGCTTCGTATCCTTTGTTTAAATCTGCCAATGATTGACCTATACAGGCACAGTGATCTGCAGGCTTCTCCCATAATTATACACATATACAGTTGTTGTGCAACGTGGCTTTTGTAAAACATCTGCCGATACTCTGTTAAGAATTCAGGATATCAATTACATCTATGTAAAATTAAAGATGACTATACATCATTAATATAACATGAATTTACAGGAACGATTTAAGGATCCCTGTCCCACTGCACTGTGGTTTGTTTTCAATATACAGTTACTTCCCCTTAACTTGTGTTTTGATATGGTAACTGTAGCACAGTTTGACCTAGCTGGACACTTCCATTGACCAGGCCTTAAGGTAGCTCTATTGGTTAGAGCTCAATTGATAGTATAACAATCTGAAATCCAGTGTTCGAATCCCTATCTGGTCCCGCTGAATTTTGACAATCAGAACACTGTTGTTCTGTATTTTATTTATTTTAAATCTATTATTTCTCACAAAAGTTTTGCAAGGTTTGTTTTTCTTTTCAGAAATTATTTATTAAAGATCTAGTCATGCCAGAAAAAATGATTTCCAATATTTACTTACAGTTTGAAACAGTGGTATGGGGATCCTTAAGTAATATTATGCAATGCTTTTGGCTTTAAGAGTTCATATCATGGAAAAAAAACAAGGAAAGGTTCTTCTTCAGTTATCTGATCATAAATTGATAAGCTTTGTGTAGATTAAGAAGTTTTAATTGTACATATAAAAAAAGTTGTTTTTTGATGAACATGTATATATTATACCTGACATACTTTACTTGTGATTAAGGGTTAGAGTTAAGGTTATATGCTACCTGATATACTTATACTTGTTAAGGTAAAAATATATATGTTATTTTACACTTTAAACCTGTAATTTGTGTTGCAGTTTGGTTATACATGTATCGCTACCTTATACTTCATACCTATGATTTGTAAATCAAGTTATAAGGTTAAAATTTGTATTCTGTAAAATTTTAACTTTATTCTGTTGACAGTGTTTAATATCCAGGCCCCATGGAGGATCATGAAACAATCTCAGACTTAAGTTTTGCTTAGCCAATCATGTATGACATCACTTAAGACAATTTAAGACTTAAGATAATTTCATGATCCTGGGGCCAGGAGCATTAATGGACCTTTTTTTTATCATATAAAGTTTTATTTTATTTTTACACATTAGGTAGGAGAAATCCATTTTAAGAACAATTATGTAGCCTACCTGACCGTTCGCATCAAGCAGAAGCCAGCACCTCCAGAGCCTGGAAGTGACTCCTCTGGTACTCGTGAGTACAATACATTGTCAAGAGACTGCATGTACATTCATTTTTTGCAGAATATTATTCGGATAAATAATCGGTAATGATCCGATTTTGATATGTACCAAACTGAGACCATTCTTAAAAGTTTTCTATGTATACCATGGAATGCATGGCTCTATCTAAAAGACGTTTTGTCTTATATGATCATTACCTCTATCAAGTTATTTCTTGTTTATAACTTTACCTGATTAGATTACTATACTGTTGACCAGGGGGCTCAGTTTAGCGTCCGTCTACAGTTCAGAGGTCCTGGGTTGAAATTCTTACCTCTTCTGTTACATCCCACCTGTTAGATCCATATACATGAACTACCTGTAAGGATTTTTGTAACATGAAACTTTATGATGAAATAAGAAGCATATTATAGATAATTCAGTCTTGTTTATTTCTTTAATACAACTGTACAATGGTTGACTGATTGTTGTTCTAGATTTAAAAGAAATAGAATTAATGTTTGTGGATGATGACGATTCAGTTTTTGCCTTGTCTGCGAAAAAACACTGTTTATTGTCCATATATCACTGTAGGAGCTGTTTGAAATCACTGACATTCAAAGAATTATAACAATATAAAATTTAATTAGTTTTTGTGATCCAAACATTTAATACACAAAGCAAATTGTTGAAATAGACAAAATTTAGGGGCCCGATAGATATAATATATAATAACTTAAAATTTAAATCATTTATGCAAGGATAGTGTTATGCAAATAGTGAAAATTATTTTTTCATAATTGACGCTTGAGTACATAGGTTATATTGAAATCCCATTAAGCGATTTTTGTACCAGGATTGTTTAACTAGTTTTCTGAGGGTATTGATATGTATGCATAGTACCTAAGTTAACTGGTGCTGAATTTTGCACTGATAAATCTATCAACTGCATTATTTACAGCGGAGATAAAATGGCGGACGTGTGTGCGGAGGATGCGACTGATGCCGAACCCCCACTGTGAGGCAGGGTCTCAGGACTACTTCTGTGTCTCGCAAAAACACGTAAGATTGTGTCATTATTGGAAAGTATTTCATGTCACAAAGAAACACGTAAGATTGTGTCATTTTCCAAAATTTCCAATGTTCTGTTTCTCATTTATCTTACTGTGGTGGGTATACATGTAAGATTGCAGTTGTATCATTTTCAATGATTCATTTCACTCACTGTGTATCAAAGAAACATGTAAGATTTATCAAGTTTTGTGTCGCCGGAAGATATGATATGAAAGGGATATATTTTAAAGGATATTGTTTTGCATAATGATTAAAGAGTATGTATATCGATATAATTTGCATAGAAGTGTATTAAAGATTATATAGTCTAGTAGTATGAACATCATGCACATATGTCTAGACACATACTTGAAATTGTCTAGAACTATGTTCATGAAATGGTCTAGACACATACTTGAAATTGTCTAGAACTATGTACATGAAATGGTCTAGACATATACTAAAGATTTATCTAGAAATCTACATCACATGTGTCTAGATCGACATACTAGAGATGTTTTTCGAATTATATACTTTACATGTATATAGTGATGTAGGCCAAATCATTTCAACTTCAAGACTTTATTTTCTAAAACTTAAGCTTCAATCTTAATACAAATGTTATATACAATGACTGTTTTGCAGTTTAATTTCGACCTGAACCAGCTAACAGGCATGCGTCTGATTCTACAGCAACCCTCCCCTGTGTGGAAAGACTTCAGACTGGAGGAGATCAAACTCTACCGCTCATCAGAGGTACAGTTTGTCACAAGACATCAGGAATATATTTATAATTCGTCTTCTGTAGAAAACAATTGCTTTTATCATAACAACAGTTATATAGCCTGCTTACATAATGCTGTTTAAAGATAATTGACAATCAGATTTTGTGAGAAGTATTTAGAATTACCAGATTTTAACATCTAAATTGTACCATATATCCTGTATTGGGCTACTGGTAAATGATGAGATGCTTAGCTGTTAAATCATTGACACCTGATGTTTAACATTACCTGGTCAGTTTGGGGAAAGCACAGCAGAAATCTACCTGTGGGGCTGACCTCAGAGGGTATATATATATATAAAAGTGCATGGTAGTGAAACCTGAGGTCAAGTCATTGACACAGGTAGACCCCCATGCACCCCCGCCCAACAAATAGACCAGGTAAAGTCAAATAACAGGTGTCAGCAGGATGCTATCCATATGATATTGAGACATTATATATACTCCCCTGAGGCCATGTACACAGGTAACACCCCATCCTGCCTACACATACCCCTCACTAACTAATTGATCAGGTAATTAATTATATAGTCAAATTATACATGTTAGTTTGGTGCCACCTTAAGACCATGTGATACTGATCGTGCCTTTGTTCTTTAATTTGTATTACCTGAGGCTAATGAGACAGGCGAATGTCCTCCTCACAAATTGACCTGATAAAGTAAATAAATCAAGACCTATATATGTCTCCATATGGTCTTAAGTTGGTACCAAAACTAACACTTTTTTTACTTCACATTACTGGTCATTTAAGGTAGTAGGATGTAAACTGAAGTAAAGAGCTTAGGCCACCTGTGTGATTGGCCCCTTTTATTCATAACCTGTTTTATTTTTTTATTTTTAAACGTTTTGCCCCTGAGCAGCAGAGCAAAAAATACTAATTTCTACACAGGGCATATATTGTGATAGAAATAGTTATATAGTTAAACAAAGAAAAGAAAAAAGATTTGATTACTGTACATTGGCTTAATTTCATTAAAAGGTGTGCATGCTTGCGAACCTTTTGAAATTTCCATTGGAGAGATTCCACATGCTCAAAATTAAAAACAAAAATAAAATTGGAGTAATCTTTTAGTTGTTCTTTCAGAAGATCATTAAAAATATTAGAAAATAGGAATAGTTTAGCAAATTCACTGTTTGGAAATACTAAATGTAAGGGTCCAAAATAAGGAGACTCCCTCCTAAATAAGGAACGTTAGCAGGTATGGGTTCGATGGTGAAAATTTGCTATTGTTTTGAATCGCTATGTCTTCTACTTAGACCGAGATTTTCATCAACACATGCTTTTGCATGCGAGAATTTATCTATAATAGTGTTATACTTATAGATTTGTGAATTGTTTACTTTACTTATAGTCAAATCGACCACAGCCTTTACCGGCCTGGCTTATTGAGGAGGCCTCCAACAGTTCCGGCAAGAAAAGGATTGAGGTAAGAAGATATTGGTGTAAATTAAAGCTGAAAATAAAGTTGAAAGTTGACAGTCATGCATGTGTTTTCAGAGAGTCAGCTAGAACATATACCGTATACACTATACACTGACATCACATCTATAGACTTGTAATATTGCATTTAGTTATTTATCATATTTTGTTTTATACAACGAGAGTATAGCAATGGTTAATGGTATTTTTGTGAATTTCAAACTATATCACCCACTGTGACATCAGTGCCTGGTATATTATCAAAAGATGTGACGTCATAACTAAACAATGTGACTTCTCATTAGACAATTAATCGACACAAATTCAAGACAGGACACTGGTAATTGAAGATTTTATAATATGATAGAGAATAAAAAAAAATAAAAAATGTTATCATACAAAATATCCTAAATTTGATTCCACTTCATATAAACTAGGTATCTTAGGAAGAATATGCTTTAATCATTGACTATATGTTATGAAATTGTTAGGTTATGGTACCCCTGACATACGGATAATGCTTGGTTATTTATGATATTGCATATCATTAAATGTCTTAATAATTTTATGAAACAATAAATGTAGGTGACTATTACACTGAGTTAATGCTAAAGGTACTCTTTTCTTTTTCTCTATGGCCATACAGCAACCTACCAATATTAAGGTATACAGTACTTTTAATATGATAACTGTAGATTATTTGCCATAGAATAGATCTAGACTTAATTGGCACTACAGTGCTTTTTGTATTAAATAGTAGTTTATAGGTTTTGTTTTTATCAGAACATAGGAATAGTAAGTGAAACTTTAATATTAAGGAATTGAAAGAAAACACTATGTAAAACATAACTTTTTCTTAGTTTTACAAGTGTCAGATGTACATTATGGGTACATTATACTTTTCTGGGAAAAAAAGTTGTTTAAATACTGAAAACAAATCACTAGTAGGTCCTTCTGTTGTGTAAAGTGTCATTAAGATAGCTCTTAAGCTGAATATTTTTTTACAATGTCAGGATAGAATGAAGGATGTTACATATCTGAATAGCAAAAACTTACAAAAGCAGTTATTGTTTTAAGAAATTCCTTAATATGAGTGAAAAATATCATTTATGTACGAATATGACTGAAAAATGTTTTCAGATTAAATGTGTATAATAAATAACCTGGTCACAAAAAAGTTTGAGGTGTCTAGTGTTTCCATGGTAACTATTCCTACTTTTTGCGTCATTTTGATAAACTCAGTTTCCCCCAAAAAAATGTTGGCCCCATTTCATCATACATGTACAGTTTTTCCTCATAGTAATGTCATCTGGTGGCATTTGAAATGTACACAAGTAAGGCTCATATCAATGTTAAACATTGCAATTTTGTTGTTATCAAATTAATTATTTAAGCATTCAATACCGTCTTTAGGAAAAGTGATTTTGTGAAAAAAAATCATCATCTACAGCAAATATCGTGACCATGTCATTTCATCACAAAACCTTATAAAAAAACAAATATGGCAAAAATACATTTTTTATTTAGAATGAAACTTTCCCATGGTGCTTTGGAGTTTTTGAAATCATCTATTTTTATTAAGTGGTAATTGTTCACTCATCCCTAAAGTTCTATCAGAGTAACATCGTAACAGGCCATTTTTACTGGTATTTTGATCATCCCTATAAAATTAAATCTCTTCTATATCATGCCAGTACTTGCAGCATATAATATAGACATGCAAAAAAAAAAGTCTGGCAATTAATTGTTCAAAATTGACAAAACAAAAATATACAAGTGATAACAGTTGTGTAAATTAGTGTAACTAAAAAATTAGGAAAATCCTTTAGTTTTCTTATAGTAATATTTCTTTCTTACTTTCTTTTTTCAATTTGCCTGAAACAATTCAGGCTAGACACTTAAGTCTAGGAGTTGTAGCTATAGGGTATTTAACCGTATACTTACCAGAAATACAGATTTGTTTTGTACGTCAGATAAGATACAGGCCCTTGGAACATTACCTAGTAACATACCATTTGTCTGAATTGCAGCTTGTTAATTGATGTGTAATTGTGTTTGTTTAGCACTTTGATAGTTCTGTAAGCTATGAGGATGAGGCGGATTTAGCTCCCCTACAAAATGGGGGAAATGTGGCGGTAAGATGGAAGCTTCTCTGTATATACCACTGTAGATCTCAGCTGCCGGCGACTTCATTTTAACTTTTGCAGGACGATGGTTAAAGAACTGCTTCTGTAACACTGTTACATACATTTGTAGTGCACCTAGATAAATGTGTTTGCATTTTATGGTTCAAATCTTCTTCAGGTGTTACAGCTCTCGTTACTGCAGGCCTAGAATAAATTAAGTTCTCTTAAATGAATCTGCCCAATGTTTTTAGCTCACCTGGCACAAAGTGCCAAGTGAGCTTATGCCGTGGCGCGGCGTCTGTCGTCCGTCCGTCCGGCATCCGGCGTCAATATTTTACTTTAAACGACTTCTTCTTAATAACCAAAAGGCCTAGGGTGTCGATATTTGGCCAGAAGCAAACTGGGATGAAGGGCTACAAAGTTTGTTAAAATTATTGACCTTCACCAATTTTCAAGGTCACAGGGGTCAAATATGTTAAAAACTTTAAACATCTTCTTCTCGATAACCAAACTTCCCAGGGAGATGATATTTGGCCAGTAGCATGCTTGGGTGAAGGGCTACCAAGTTTGTTCAAATGAATGACCTTCACTTATATTCAAGGTCACAGGGGTCAATTGTATTAAAAAAAACTTTAAACAACTTCTTCTGAATAACCAAAACGCCCAGGGTGATTATATTTGGCCAGTAGCATGCTGAGATAAGGGGCTACAAAGTTGTTCAAATGATTGACCTTCACCCATATTCAAGGTCACAGGGGTCAAATATGTTAAAAACATTAAACAACTTCTTCTGAATAACCAAAATGCATAGGTTGATGATATTTGGCCAGTAGCATGCTGGGATAAAGGGCTATCAAGTTTGTTTTAAATGACCTTCACCTATATTCAAGGTCACAGGGGTCAAATATGTGAAGAACATTAAATAACTTCTTCTGAATAACCAAAATGCACAGGGTGATGATATTTGGCCAGTAGCTTACTAGGATGAAGGGCTACAAAGTTTATTTAAATGTATGACCTTGAATCATATTGAAGGTCACATGGGTCAAATATGCTAAAAACATTAAACAACTTCTTATGAATAACCAAAATGCATAGGGTGATGATATTTGGCCAGTAGCATGCTGGGGTAAAGGGCTATCAAGTTTGTTTTGAATGACCTTCACCTATATTCAAGGTCACAGGGGTCAAATATGTGAAGAACATTAAATAACTTCTTCTGAATAACCAAAATGCACAGGATGATGATATTTGGCCAGTAGCTTACTAGGATGAAGGGCTACAAAGTTTATTTAAACGTATGACCTTGAATCATATTCAAGGTCACAAGGAGCAAATATGCTCAAAATATTTAAACAACTTGTTCTGAAAAACCAAAAGGCTCAGGATGTTGATATTTAGTCAGATCAAGGACTACTATGTTTGTTAAAGTGAATGACTGACTTATATTCAAGGTCACAGGGGTCAAATTTGTTTAAAATCTTTAAACGACCTCTTCTGAATAATCATGGGTCCCAGGATGTTGATACTTTGCAAGTTGCATACTGAGATGAAAGGCTATACAACTTGTTCAACATAATGACTTGGTCGACTTTCAAAGTAACAGGGGTGAAATGTTTTAAAATCTTTTAACATGTTCTTTTGAATGACTTAAATCATACATACTGATATTTTGCCTGTAGCTTTATTTTAGATCGCTTTTAAGGTTGCAAGTGTGAGATTTATACCAGGTGAGCGATGCAGGCCCATTGGGCCTCTTGTTTTTAGTATCGGTAAAAAGTCAATTCAAACTGTTGATGATTTTTTATCAGCAGCTATAAGAAATGACTGATTAAATAAAAATATAATAAATAAATATAATGAGGTAACAGGACGGATTTTTATACTGTAAAGTTATTAAATTTCGCAGGGTTAAAATTTCTGTAAGTCGATTTCGCAACGAGTGCTTGCTACTACAAGCATCGAACAACCTGAAGATATCAAAATATTCACCAGGGTTTAAATTTCGTGGTTTTAAAGCATTCACAAAATTCGCAAATTTTGCAAACCCTCGTGAACATGTCCGTGATCATGACCAGAAGTTCCTGGATATGTGCAGCCAATAGAAAAACGTCAGCAAAAAATTAACATGGTTTAGATGTAAAAGATATAACAGTATATTGGAAGATGATACTATTTTCAATCCTGCATACGATTTGGGGTATCATTTTGTTTTTATCATAGGATAGTATCTGTTTCGCAATTAAGTAAAGGGCATTTATCTGCAGAAGAATTTGGTCCATAAAATGCAATACTTTCCATAACAAGCACCTGTTTTCTTTTTTCACAGCCACCTACCCGCAATTCCCACTAATTTGTTTTAGTGGTTAATGGACATAGATTGTTGTAATGGCTTCCAGCTTTTGTTATATAAAGTCATTGTCTGTGATGTAGGTCCCAGGCCATATGGATCATGTACGTTTTATGTAACAGTGTAATATTCAGTGGTGTCTGGTCTTGATATTGTGATCAGTCTCAATTTGAGAAGGTCATTCAATTTTAGGACACAACTTTGGGGTACATGTATTTTATTAGCAGTTTTTTTTTAGAAGGAACTTTGATAGACCATCATTTGATTTCTTTATTTTAAAAATAAAGTACAATCCTCAGAGTAACTTATAATAATAGTAATAATAATTTGAGGTTCTTATATACTGCTTTATCACAACCTAGTTCGTAGGCCATCTCAAAGTGGTTCACAAATTATTATCCTTGGTTATATGGCCTTTGCAACCAGCCAATATCTTTCTCAACTCCCTGGGGAGCATACAGCCGGTGCTGCCATTTTGGCGCTCATAGCTAGCATTCTACAATTGTAGCACTGCCCAACCATATACCCATTTACAGCTGAGTAGACTGGAACAAGCAGAGTAAAGTATCTTGCCCAAGGATACAACACAGTGCCGTGGCGTGACTCGAACCTGCAACCCTTCGGTCACGAGCCCGGCATCCTACCACTAGACTACCGTGTCTCCTTAAAATTCAAAAGTTAGGTAGTTTTTTAACATTTAATCCTTGGCATTCCCAACTTCTTCAAAAGGATAATGATAATTAGTGATATTATTTTAAATGTTAATTATTGATGTGTATTGACCAACAGATGCTATGTTTAGCAATATTGTAACACCTAAATGACAAGTATCCAGGTATGGCTCAGATTTTTTTTTTATTTCAGAGATCAAACCAACATTATTTATTCTGTTAGTGGTACGCATAGCCCTTGTTTTACAGTTCATTTTTCTCTTCAGTAGCATAATTTTAGCAGATGAATGGAATACCTCCATCCCAGACATGAGACCAAACAATTTTTGTTTTGGTGCATACCACTTATGTATTTATAAAATGTATATTTGTTCCGATTCCCTCATTGTAACTTAGATGATATATTGACATCAAGCTTATTTTAAGTCAATATATGCATCGATTATGCATAAAATTGCAGTCATACAATATCATAATTTGTATAACTGTTAGAGTGTCAGTATTTTTGAGACCATGAAATTAAATCTGAACTATTTACTAAAATGCTCAGGATTTCTTTAAATATTTTATAGTAATAACTCACTGCTATACTGCCATTGTCTAGACATTAATAGGCATTATAAAGGGTTTTGGCAGTACATCGAGAGATATAGAGGAATTGTTAAGAAAAAAAGGCAAGGTGAGTCTGGCAGTAAGCGAGGTGGTAGATTATAACAAGGTTTTGTAGTACATTTGTAATTAAGACTTTCATGCATTTTTTTGTGTAAATGTAGACCTTTTTTAATATATTTTTTTTTTTCATGTTAACATCACCATTTAATCATATGTATCACTCTTTGTAATTTACCAGTCTGCACTTATATGATTATCTTAAAAAGTATATTTATATACACGTATGTATTTCAAAACTTACACAAATTTTACTCTACCAGCTAATCAAACATTGTTGATTTAGCTGAATAACTGTGCTGTCCACAAGACTTTTGGGAGTGGGAAATACAATTTATCAACTTGGTTGATAAGATGCTTATGGCATGAATTTCAGATATCGCAGCAAAAGGTTCTGGTAAAATAAAAAATTTGCTCATTATTAAACAGCTTAAATGCCAATATACTCATGCAGTCTCATATCGTCTGTAAACTGTGGTCAATCAGTAACCTTGCCAAGTTGAAACTTTCATGATTTACTATTTTAGAGTCAAAATGCAAATGTTTTCACAAGTGAACATTTCTTCTTATACTGTATCAAGACAAATATATTTTTGGACCAATCGAAATCATACCTAGCATAAAAGTATGTAATTATGTATTTATCATGTTACTCCTATGTTTTGTTTTATAAAGAGTGGTTTTCCACTTGTATAATATAATCTAATGTTAATGCGATAGGTTGAGGTGTCCGAAAATCAGTTTGCAAATGCCTTGCAAAATGTTATGTTGTACCCTACTCCTATAATATAAGAGGCTGCTGGCGACAGCGCCTGTCAAAAGTATTTCGATGTGTAAAACCTCTAACACTGTTGGAGTATATTGTACCCATAATTAGAAAATGTATTCTTAGTATTTTGATATTGAATATTGAATTTGTGGCTGAATTTCCTTGTTCTAAAAACAATAACCAGAAGACAAAAAGCTGCGTAATGGATGAAAAGGATATACAGCTTGGCTATAGCAGGGTGGCTATAGCAGGGTACTGTAAAAAAAAATCCTCAAACTATGTACCCCTGACATACGGATTACCAGTATCGAGAAAAGATTAGCATTTTTAAAATATCTGAATAAATTAAGCTATTTAAACCTTAATATTTCAGCTGAGGATATATATCCAAACTGTGTCTTGCATGATGTGAATTTAAATAGTGAATTTGACATTACAGCATCGCACCAAAGGTCGACAGAAACCGAAACTGAAATATCTCCTAGCCAGAACAGGGGATGTTGAGTTAGCGGGAACACATTTAAGATTGATGGTCAGGGTTTTATAAAAGTTTGGTTACAGGTTTATAATGGTAGCAAGGTGACTCTCAACCCTGTATTTTTGTTCACTTAGCTTATGATAAAGGATACATTCTGATGCCTAGATTTTGGCACAGGGACCTGAGGACTGGTTACAGTTGGTGTGTTTGGACCTATCCTGATGTGCAGAGATTCATAATAGACATTTTCAGGGGTTTATATTGATTCTCGGTAACATGACATCCCTATTGATGGTAGGTGGAAAGCTCATGATGTTGGAAAGTCAACTCCGACAAACTTCCTCTGCACTTCAGGATAAGTCCAAACATCACTAACTGTAACAAATTCTTGGGTTCCTGTGGTTTTTGGGGCAGTCACTGATTTTATGTGAATGCTGTATTATTTATGGTTACTGGAACTGTTTATAAACCTGTCATTAAGGAAGATCGATAGAATTTTATATTTACTCTTTTGTTGCATTCTGTTTAGATTATAGACATTTTTTTTTTTTCTTCACACTAACACCTATCCACATATGGCAGGTTTCTATATTTATTGTACATTGAATTATGGTTGCCTTCGAGCTTTGAGTAAGAGAGAATTCCCCCTTATCTCAATCAATACAGTGGCACACTTCAGAGAAACAGAATCTACACTTCTGGTATTTCCTTTATATTCTTACTAATATTGTAATAAAATTTAATTGGGCTGAAGGCTAGTACTGTACTGTGATTAAGGCAAATATTAAATTTCATCAGTTCTGGTACATTAGTTTCTCGAAAAGATTTAGAGGTTTAATAGCTTTTTGTTCAAACTCAAGTGAAGGTCACTGTTGCTATAAATAGAAACTTTGTTGCATGGCCATGGAATATGGTAACACAGCGGAGCGCCTCTTGCTTTTCAATCATTGTCTACTTTTCAGATACAAAAATATCCATTATTTCATGGTTACTAAATCAATCTTTATGTAATATACAACATGTCAGGGATGTACGTAGCACAGTCCTATATATACAGTAATATTTCACCTTTACCTAGAAGCAGAATGTTGAATATGTGCAAGAATTAACCTGTGTAAAAGTACAGACATAATAAAACGTAAATGTTATATACGGTATATATATATAAATATATATGTCTCTCTGCAGACTTGTGGCATTAATTGTCAAGCTGTGCATAATTCCTTTGTTTCACTTTGCGATGTTAATCTTCAGAGTCTTTCTTAACTTGTAAACAACTGTACTGATTTTAGAATTTTTTGTACAAATCAATTAAACGATAACAAAATTACAGTACTTTTTATATAGTCATTCTTAAAAGAAATGGCTAATCCTGAGATTCTATTTTTACAGGGGATAGGCAGTGTGGACGCCATCTCTGCCAGTTTACAACAGCTGTGGGCACTGTCCGAGGGTGTTGCTTCCAATCAGACCGACAGGGCTCTCGGCAGATTTGATGTAAGATAAACTATGCATCATATTATAAGAATTTTAACATTTTTTATAAGAAATTCTACAATAATAAAAAAAATGATTTTGATTTCTATTATCGACTTATGAAGAAACTGTACATATTATTTTGATTTTTATGTCATATATTTGGATAATTTCATAGTTTTTAACAAATATATGCAGCAAGAGAATTCTAAAATTTATTCTGAATTAAGTTCTGAAGAATTACTTCCTATCCTGCTAATAATTTCATATATTCATATAGGAAAATTTATTCAGTAAAATGTGTGTCTTAAATAAAAGAAAAAATCATAATTACATAAATAAAGTTGTAGAAATAAACTCAAACTTTTTTAATGAGTTATCTCCCTTGCATTAGTTGTTCAGTTGAAATTCAACTTGGCATCTTGTTCCTTTTCTATTGAGCACCAGCCAGATTTATTTAACCATTTCTATTCATTTACTGTGCTGCAATTTTACAAGCCTCAGTAAGCTGCAAAAGATCTTTTTCTTTTTTATTTGTGATAATGTCAAGCATGAAACATGTATTCCTGGTGGTTTTAAATTCACAAACCATTTCATCGATTACAAAATATAAACGTTTGTAGTTTGCTGATATGAATAAGCTTGCACTTCTGTTGTTCAGAGTTTTTCTACATTGTACTCATATTTATTAAAAGCATGATCAAGCTGTGCATATTTCATGCTTCAAAAATAAAATAATCACTTTCATAGATGCATTAGCATACTTGTCTAATAACTCATTTCTCTTAATATGTTTTTTTTTCTGCCTACTTTTAGGTGGATGGATGCTACGAAATCAATCTGCTTTCGTATACATGAGAAAGGACGGTCGTTGCATGATCAAATCATATGTAGTGCGACTCCAAATACATTTCAGAAAGTCTACAGGTGTTTTTGAGCATACTGTCAACATTGAATTGAAAACATTTGAGTTATTTGCATCTGTGTGGTACTTCTGAATGTCAGTGAGTTGAATTTGATCAGGTCAGACAAACAGACAATTAGGAAAAAAAAGTACCATAATCATGCAGTTTACCATGTTAATGAAGATGGTTGTTACATTTTAAAAACAATTCTTAAGTCAGTTTACATTTATCTTTTTTGTTTTTATTGAAACAAATCATTCAAGTTGAAGCTATCAGTAGAAAAAAACTTGGGACATGTACAAAAGAGATAGTTTCCTGTCATTAGGGTAAATATTGAATGTGACAGTAATTCCATGTTACACTTCTCAGTATTTCCAATTATCAGACCAAATTAAATTTCTATACCTAATAATAAACTTGCTCAATCTGAAAACTGTAATTTTCATCACTCTTCACTGTTTTTGGCATTTGAGGATGTTTAATAGAATTTTTTGCCATCAAAAGAACGTTTTTTTCTCATTTTGAATAATTTCATGCTTTAGAATGTGAAACTCATTTGTTAAATGTTTTATTTAAAAAAATTGAGAATACTTAATACTTGGTGAAACAATAACTTTTGATTTGTTATGTGTTTTGAGTTATCAATCTATAAATTTTGTTGTTTGAGAGAAAACCATGTATTTTTGTATGTTCTCAGATTCTAAACATGGATTTTTTTCCATTGAGAGATTGAGGATATTTTTGTATGAATACATCAATGATATACTTAACTACACTCAAACCCCTTTATACTGCCGTCGTTTGTCTACCACATGTGTGTTTTACAGTGGCACTATATAGAGAAACAAATAAGACCTTAGAAAATGTTAGCAGTAACGGCAAGCGAGTTTGGAAATATAACAAGGCTGTTATACATTGGCCTTTTTTTTCGATTAATGCATGGCATGTAAACATCTTCGATATGAATCTATAATATATGACAGGTATGGTATTATGAATGTGAAAGTGATTAAGAAAGAGTGGATTGAAAGTGTTTTCATTGTATTTATTTTTGCTATTTCTTACAAATAAATGATTATTTATAAAAAAAATAATAGAATCTGGTAGTTTTTTTTGTGGAAAAGCATAGTTTTGTTTGTTTGTTTTTAACATCCTTTTAACAGCTATGGTTATTTAAGGAGGTGCCAGGTTCAGGTGATGGAGGAAGGTCGGAGTAACCGTAGAAAGACCACTGACCTGCGGCCATTACCTGGCAACTGCCCCATGTAGGCCTCGAACCTGCGACCCAGTGGTGGAGGGTTAGTGATCATAATCGAGCAGACACCTTAACCACTCCGCCATCGCGCAATATCATATACATGTATAACTCATACTTTTCCACTCTCCCTAAAACATACAGGAAGGGGCTGCAGTGGCCGAGTGGTTAAGGAATCTCACCGTCTATGATCACTAGCCCTCCACCACTTGGTAGCAGGTTCAAGGCCTATATGGAGCAGTGGCCAGGTACTGGCCACAGGTCGGTCGTTTTTTACCTGGTATTCCGGTTTTCCTTCACCACCAGAACCGTGCATGTTCTAAAATGACCATAGCTGTTAATCGGACATAAAACACAAACAAACCAAACCAAATCAAACATACAGGAAAGAGATACTGTTTTCACTGTATACACAACTGTGTAATTGTCTCAAATTGAATATTGTCCAAAACATGAAAGGACTGTGATAGAAACGGATTTACAATTATCCCCATTTTGAGCTCTAACCATAGCTCTAACCATAAATATACAGTTAAAAGTTTTAAAAACTTGATTAACTCTTCAATCTATATAAATGTAATGTCCACAAACTTGCTACTGCCTTTCAGATAGCCATTTAAACTAACACATTTAAATTATCAACTGCAGGGGCAGAAGGTCAAATCACCTGCAAATCTTGACCAGTTGCTTATATTTCAACCACATTTGCTATAATCTTGCATCCTGTGTAAAAATTAAAATAAAGGAAGGAGTTGTCAGCTGGTACTGACAGGTAGAGCCAGAAATGGGGAAATTTTTGTTACATTACCATTGATGAAAACACTTTTTCATGATTGGTTTAATATCCGGTTGAGTTATACAGGCCATCCAGACCTCTTGCTTAACAAACCTGAATTTATAAATCCTAGTTGAATGTTTAAATATTTTAATTAGGTCAGAGTTTATTCATTTGAACAAACTTGATAGCCCTTCACCCTATCGTACTTTTGGACAAATGTCATGACCTTAGACCTATGTTATTATAAGAAGTTGTTTAACAGTTTTAACACATTTGGCCTGTGCGCCCTGCAAGTAGCTCAAGGTTATTTTATAAATGGACCTGGCAGTCCTTCCCTAAAGCATGTTCTGGTCCAATTGTTTTTAAATGACCCCCGACATCTGGGTTATTCAGATAATATTAATAAGTTTGACCCTGTGACCTTGAAAAGTAGGCCAAGGCCATGAGTTGAAATCCTTTCACCCCAGCTAATGATGCTACGCAGCACAAAAACAATGGACAATAGCCCTCCTGGTTATTCAAAAGCAGCTGTTTAATTCAGTTAACACATTTGACCCCAGTGTCCTTCAAAGCAAGTCAAGGTCATTCATTTGAAGAACTTCTTAGCACTTTACTCTAGCAAGCTACAGGCCATATGTCACGACTATACAACTCTTGGTTATTTATAAGACATTGTTTAAAAGTTTCAACACATTCAAACTTTAAAGGCCTATGGCCTTTGAAGTGGGTCAAGGTCATTTATTTAAACAAATTTGATAGCCCTTCATCTAAGCATACTATGGGCCTAATATCATGACCCTTGGCCTCTTTGTTGTTTAGGACAAGTTATACAAGGATAAAAGTTTACAATGTATATTGACAAAAGCTAATCCATATTGGATATCTGGCCCAAAGAAAGACCATAGAAGGTGAGATAATCTATTCACAAAAAAAATATAAAATTAGCTATGGGCATTCAGTTGTAATGTGAAAGGACAGGGAAAATGAAATGGAACAGATGAAGATTTGAACCTTTGAGTTTCAGGCAAATGCTTTTCTAAATGAGGAATATATGGTCAATGTCAGATCCATGACCACATGCATTTGTAACAGGAAAGGAAAAATGCAAGGCCACACGGGTTCCAACCTGGGACCCTCTGAACTCTTAGACGGACGCTCTACCAATTGAGCTACCTGATCACCACCAATCGATCAGTCCAGTTCGGCTACATTCCTCCCTCCTTTTTCTAAGTCTTCACCCCCAAAGACAACTTATAATTTACAACCCAGGTTTGATATCCCCTTGCCAAGTGTACACCCAATGCTTGAAACAATTAACGGTTGGTCACAGGCACCACTGTAACAGGAGAGGCACAGCTAGACCAGGGTTCCAACCTGGGACCCTCCAAACTCCAGACGGACGCTCTACCAACTGAGTTACCTGTTCACTAACAATCAACCCAGTCTAGTTCTGCCACACGTGACCACCATATGTTGGGTCAGTGTCAAATGTAACATACTCTGTATGAAGTCAGATCTGGCATCGAACCCGAGATTCCCATCTATCTGGTCAAAAGCAATCAGATGAATCAAGATCTGCTACATGAGTTGATATAGTAGTAGACACCAATGGAAAGTTTAAGGTACCTTCTTGCGGTGTGTTTTAATATTCCTATACTAATACGTGATTTCAGGTGCGTATTGATATAGAGGAAATAATATCCTGTAATCTTACAGGTTTAAAAAGTGGGTATAAAAAGATACTAAATATTCTGGACAGGAACTTGCTAGTCTAGTAGCAAGAAGCATTAACAGGGGTGATCTAACAAGAACCTGTAGAGTCTATGTTTAAAACTATTTACGCTTGAGGCAATGGAAAACATGCACAATTAAATAGTTTGGTAAATGATCGATTTGCACATTAAGTATAGCTTTCACAAATTTGCAAAATCAAGTTATTTTATAATTTCATTTTACTTATTCCTTTTATTGCAACGATACAGATTTTCAGGTTTATATTTTTTTTTTTTGTAAAATTGCTTTTCATAATTCATAATCAAAATCCTTGAACTATCATTGATCGTATAAGCAATTATATTCCCTTAAATTATTATAAATTATTATATTCCCTGCAATCGTTCTCAGCGATTAAAATAGTAGTAATGTTAAATGTCGATCTAGCAATGAGCAGGTTTCCTCCTAACGACTAACGCTGTACACAAAAAATCATCACGTTTCTTACCTTTGACAAGATATCATTCAAATGACAATTATCGTAAACTATTCTATGATTCCATACAAAATAAATAATCAGAAAAGTTTGTCGAGAAAACATATTGTTTCATGGTAAATCGATTCCTCTTTGTGTCTGACAGCGATTTGTTTATGTTTCGCTTGTCGACCATGTGTAATATTTTGTTGTATCACGTGACCACAGTTTCCATGACGTAACACGATATCGTGACGTTGACGAACCGGGGTTCTGCTTGGCAACCAATCCTCCATTCTTGTCTTGAAAATAGCAACAGAGTGTGCAGTAATCGGTGTTGAAACACACCGAAATTGGATAATAAAGTGTTTATTCAAGTGCAAGACATGTTGAGGAAGATGTGGGAAATATTCATCTCGACAAATGTGGAAGATTAAATGGATAAAATTGCAGTGGAAGGAACATAACCGGAGGGAAGTATCAGTAGTATGACGACTCGGGTAAATCATAGAATGAATGCACCAGCTCATCCCTATAGTCTACCCCCGTTAACATCTCAGACAGTAGGTGGGGGGACTCAGATCCAGAGTGCTGGACTGAAAGTAACCCAACTTTATAACGATGATCACGGAAAACACCAAAAGCATGGCCATGTCGGAACAGCCGACGAAACTCGGTCCCTACCCAATCCCCGTCCCAGCTCGAGTGCAGGCAGCAATACGAGTAATAAAGGGCGATCTGCTTCAGGGAAGAGGAATAGACTCAGCCCAGAAACCGCTATGAAGCAGCACATGACCAAACTAACCTCATTTGAGCACCACGAAATCTTCAATTTCCCTAATATCTTTTTTGTCGGTCCAAACGCAAAGAAGAGACAAGGGGTCGTTGGGGGTGCGAATAACAGTGGCTACGACGACGAGCAGGGATCCTACATGCAGGTTCCCCACGACCACATCTCGTACCGGTATGAAGTATTGAAGGTGATTGGCAAGGGAAGCTTTGGTCAGGTTGTGAAAGTGTATGATCATAAGGCACATGATCATATTGCCCTGAAAATGGTTAGGAATGAAAAGCGTTTCCACAGGCAGGCGCAAGAGGAAATTCGTATTCTTGAGCACCTAAAGAAGCAGGATAAGGACAATGCATTTAACATTGTACATATGTATGAACATTTCATATTCAGAAATCATATATGTATAACTTTTGAACTTCTCAGTATGAACTTGTATGAACTCATCAAGAAAAACAAATTCCAGGGATTTAGCTTGCAACTTGTCCGTAAGTTTGCACACTCAATATTGCAATGCTTAGAAGCATTGAACAAGAACCGTATCATTCACTGTGATCTCAAACCAGAGAACATTCTTCTCAAACAACAGGGCCGTAGCGGTATAAAGGTAATAGACTTTGGTTCAAGCTGCTATGAACACCAACGGATATATACGTATATCCAGTCTAGGTTCTACCGTGCACCAGAGGTGATTCTAGGAGCCAAGTATGGTATGCCCATTGATATGTGGAGCCTGGGTTGCATTTTGGCAGAATTGCTGACCGGGTACCCACTATTCCCTGGGGAAGATGAGGGTGATCAACTGGCGTGTATCATTGAATTACAGAGCATGCCATCCCAGAAACTTCTAGACAGTGCTAAACGCGCTAGGAATTTCATTAGCTCGAAAGGATACCCTCGCTACTGCACAGTTTCTACTATGCCTGATGGTTCAACAGTGCTACAAGGTGGAAGATCAAGGCGTGGAAAGACTAGGGGACCCCCAGGAAACAAAACCTACCCAAGTGCACTAAAAGGATGCGACGACCCTCTTTTCACAGATTTCCTGAAGCGCTGTTTAGAATGGGATCCATCTGCTCGTATGACACCCACACAGGCTCTACGTCATGCATGGCTACGACGTAGATTACCCAAACCACCCCAAAACGAGAACAGGTCAGACTCTGCATCTCGTCGGAAATCCACCGCCAACACAAGTGCACTGTATCCAAGTAGTAAGCTGCCCAGTGGAAGCTCGAGTCGAGGAAAGGCTGGCGCCCCTGTACCCATGGTAGACACTGATGTAGCAAGAACAAAACTGCCACAAATATCAACCTTATAGGGATAATATTATTGTGTGATTACTCAAATGCAAGATACGTACATAACTCTTCGTGCCGTCCAATGGATAATGATGAGAATTCTTCGAAAGATATATTGCACACAAATGTATTTGAATGATGTGTTGTATTTTATCCTGTCCAATATTACTTCTTATATACACAAAATGTGGAATGATGTTCTGTGAAGTTATTATACAACATAAAAGCCAAATCATTGTTATTACGTGGAATTACAGATGCAACGACACCTTGGGTTTAAGGATGGCTGCTTAGATATGAGGAATATGTACTGTATCATGTATTTCTAAGGGGAGATAATACATGCACACTATGGAACATATATAAACTGAAATTGATTGTATGAAATGTGTACCCAATATATACAGGGTGAACATGGACAGCTAGGAGTTGTAGTGTGTGCAAGTTGGTTTTGTGTTGCAGGAAACATTAGAGGGATTTAATGCCTTTATATTGGAGAAAGATTCTATAACCAACATGGCGGAGGAAAATTATACTGATATATATGTACTACCTGAGTTTTGACAAAAAAGGAAATGCACATGAACTTTGTGCATATAACAAATCGAGCATCACTGTGATGGATTTTTTTAACAATGTGTTTTCTAAGTCGTTATGTTTCCCCCTGTTTTTGAGAGAGAGTGAGAGTGACTAATCTGAATTTCCTATTGGATTATTTTTCAACTTTTGGTACTGTGGTTGTTAAAGTAGGATCAGTATTCCATCTGCAATAACTGGGATATCGTATTAATGCATAGGTAGTTTCAATTTTGTCATTACCACTGATGAACAAAACCAACAAAACCATTCACCTAGGTCCTAACTTTCAATTTCTTCCATTGTCTATCTCTTAAGATTCTCTAATTTAAATTTAGTTGCTGGCATGGCTTTATATATTGAAGTATAAAATCTGTGTTTCAGTAAAAAAAAGTTCTACAATGAAGCTATTTTCATTTTTTTGGGGTGTTAATTTCAAATGGATAGTGGTTACCTTAAATTCTGCTTTCCATTAGATGTACTTCAGCTGATTTTTCCACGTTAAGTATCAATTTTTATGTTGTGCCTTTTAAAGATGTTTTACTGAAAATCAGCTGACTTGTTTATTACCTCATATTCTAGATTCACTGAAGATTTTTGTAACTCATGATAGCAATTCACAATATTTGTGGATATATACGACAATATTTCAAATCAATGTCATAGGAAAATTAGAATGTTGGCTTTGAAAGCATTGATTTTTCTTTTTCATTTATACCTGTAGTAGGCATTTCATGTTTGTATACATACAATCAACCACTCAAAATGTTCCAAACCTGAGATAGCCTACTGTTGATGTGTCCTCCTGTGCAAACTGATGTATTTTGTTTTGTGTTTTCTATTTGTTGCAGGGTTTTTTTTCTGGTTTAAATAACTTTATAGAATTAATCCAATTCTCTTTAGACAAAACTGAAAGTTTACTAACTTTCCTTAGAGTTAGAAAGATTGCAGTTGATTATTTCCAGAAGAAGGGAACAGTCTTATTTTGGTAATTGAACTATAGCTGTAACTTATTAGTGTCAGATGTCATTGTCATATTGTTGCCCCAGATGTATATTTATGTTAGGAAGCTAAATATTTCTGTTTCTCTTGCATCTGCCTTGTATGGGAAATGCCTACCTAATGTATATTTCTTATAATTGTGCCATCTTATACTTTATTTCTTTTAATGTACTTTTAACAAATTTCTATCTTTAAAGGTGAATGTATTTTGAAGCGAAATGGCAGGTCATTTATAAGAATTTCTTTTCTTTTTTTCACAAAAAAATATTACTGAATGCAACTATTTTTTTATTATACCTGGATGTGTATTATTTAAAATTGTTGTAATTTTTATGGCGGAATATAATTTCAAGAATTGTTTATTGAAAATACTCTGTCAGTGTCTACTGTCATCCTCAACAAAATATTCATTCCAAATTCTACTTGAAGTGTTACGATCACAAAAATGTTGATAATTCATTGTTTTACAAAAAAATGTTTAAACTAGAATCTAGAATAATCCTCAACAACAGGTTTTATTCTAAACGGTGGATTTACTAGATGAATGATGTATTCAAATTTTCCACATGATATGAAAAAAAATGTTTCGCATTAGGTAATAAACCCTTCATACAATGATCATGAATTCTTATCTTATAAGGTGTTATTGCCGTTTTATCAAAATGAGATTATATTTCAATATTTTGATTCGTTGGATCATCGTTATTTTTGAGGAAACAGTGTTTGGCCATTAACTCATGGGAAAAGATCATCAATGACAAAAGTATGTTATTTTGCCTATATGTGTATGTTTTAAATCTCCCTGCTGGAATTAAATAGGGATACAATTGTATATGCTTTTATGCTTTTGTGAAAGTTTGTCATCATTAGAGTTACAAAGATAAATCTCTTAAATGTGCAAAATGTTTTTTATCATTACTATTGAATGGTATCCTGATTTGTAATGTATGCATACATGTACATAATTTGGTATATTGAAATTAGAGTACTGCTTCGTTTTAAATTGAATATTTTTCATTGTTCGAATATATTGAAGTTTTATAAGACATTCACATTGTGGACAAAGAAAAGGGAAGTCTTTATATTCAACATTTTCAAAGGCAGCATATTTTTATCTTTTTGTTAAGTAGCCGTTTAATTCGCTGAATTGACATTTTTGGAATTTATTTATATTGTAGCACTGCTGTGATCACAAAATGCATTAAAGCATATAGTAAGGAAATGAAGCAAATCAAATCAAGACAAAAATCTCCAGTATGATCCAATTTGTATATATTTAATATATATGGAAATTTTCCTGTTGTGGTGGCGTGGCTTCAGTTAACGATGAGAATGGTTTGTTAAACAAATATCTGGTGTATTCCGTATGCCAATGCTAAAGCCTCTATCCTCCCACTCACGGGGGCAGTATCTCCTAACTGAAGGAAAACAATAGGCCAAATCTTGAGTTATGTCACTGCAATATAGCTAAGAGGGAAATAATCAATGAATGTGATCAATGTACAGCACCGAAGCAAACTGGTGCCAGTAGTGGATGTGGGGAGACCAAGCGTGGCACCAATACTACAGATCTCCTACATAGCCTGGTACAACTTCTACCAATCTCTCGCCTAATATCACACCACTGATGTGTAAAATCTTTACTGTGTAAAACAAAGACTCACTTGGACTGTATTAAAGTTGTCTTTTAACAATGATTTCTAGTGCTATACGTTTAAAGAATTTGCATTTGATTAACTTATAATTAACACTTTTTATTTAGATAGGAATTTTTAAATTTTTCTACCAATAGTGCGTTTTTCCATCTGTTACTTTTATGATACAATTGCCTTTTGTTCTGGAAATGTTGCGATTGGTTTTCAAAGCAGACATTGAAATAATAGGCCAGATTTTAATACGAAGAAATGATATTGCAATCATTTAACAATGAAATACAACAACATTAAATAATACAATTCAGGAGATGACAGAGTATAGAACATGGGTGTGCATTTTCATATCTAAAGTACTGGCATAGCCACAAGCAGATTTTGAAAAATTCTACTTACATAACCTATGTTTTTTGTAGTGAAATGTAGATGTGGATTTTTTTCTTCTAGACAAAACATGAAAATCAGCTTACCCTAGGCCTCAGGTTAGTGAAATTGTACACCCCAGGATGGTACATCAACAAGGTTTTAAAACTTTGCTCAAGGACAAAATTACAATATAACATTTGTATGTTTCTATAGTCAGATATTCTTAGATGGCCCTCTTTAATTAGTTGGTTGGTGATTTATCAGTACGTTTGTATTTGATAATTGTGTTTTCATTATTTCATGTCATTCTGTTATATCAACTATGACACTTCTCTTGAGCACTCTAGGGGAAAATCTACGGATAAAATTGTTTTGTTTTTTTTATCTCCGGCATAATATATATTGTTCTGATCTTTCTCTGTGTTTCATTATGCATCATCGTAGTTGATTTAAATTTGTTTTCTGCATGTATAAATTATTAATGCTTCATGAAACTATCAAATTAATGGAAAAAGAAACCATTGTTAGCATTTTGTGATATAAACAATTAGCTTTGCTGATTTCAATATTTGCAAATCATTGTTTGTGAATCTTGTTTTCTTGATGTAGTTCATAAATTGAAATTTCTGTTAAAATCTAAACCACTTGGTACTCACTGTTTTTAAAGTACCTTTTTAAAACCATTATTTACATAAAACCTTTACGGTTGTGAATTCAAATGTAAGACAAATCTTGTGTAGTTGAAATTTGCTTTTTAAATTTTTAGCTTGATTTATTATTAATTGTGAACAAATTCAATTTGTAATCATGAGGTTTTTTTTATTGATTTGTACATAAATTTGTTACTGCATTATTATTTTAAGCTATTACCCCTTTTCTTAAAGATTTTTGATTTTTGTATATAATCGTTTCCTCTGTCTATCCTCATCCAATCATTGTCCTCAACCTTGCACACTGTGCAAACATTATTATATATTATACTCTGTACCATGCATACATCTGCCAAGTCTCTGTACAATTTCAAACCAGAGAGAATGTGATAGCTTGCATTTTAAAAATGCAGCTTTGTGTAGAAAATCTCTTCAATGATTTATACAGATATGAATTTCTTAACCCACTGACAATTTTTATTACAAAAATAGACTGTATCAATTATTTTTAACTGAAGTGTAATTGAACAATGTATATTAAAGATGACACAGGTTCCATGTGATATAATTTGTTGTGTTTTGATTTTAGCTCACCTTGCTCGAAGGGCCATGTGAGCTTATGCCGTACTGCGGCGTCCGTCGTCCGTCAACCGTTCCTCAACTTTTTCTTTTAAACAACTTCTTCTGAAGAACTGGAGGACCTAGGGTCATGATATTTGGCTAGTAGGTACCTGTGATGAAGTGGAAAACTTGCTGTTCTATAACTTTTAATTAGCAGTTGATAACATGCAGGCTAAGGAGAATCTTCTGTACTGGGTTTTCAATATTTTCATTATTTTCTCTTGGAGGAAATGCAATGTTCAATGTCTAGTTGATAAAATACCTGCTCAATCATTAAAACCAATCATGTTTTCCATTCGTAATTCCTTCTGATACAAAGACCTCACGGATGGGGATGTCCAGGTTGTGACTGTAGCAGCCAGAGCGTTTGAGGGGAAAATACTGCCTTTTTAGCAAGGTTGTGCTTCCAGCAATATGGGACAATCCTCAGACTTGCTCAATAGTTAAGCAATTGCAAAACCAAGTGTTGTTCGGAAGCTGGATGTATGGGTCCTGTTTGTATGTTACAATTGGTGGCAGCATCATGACACTGGGGTAGTACTATACCTTTATAAATGTAAGTTTCCATGGCCAGTGACAAGGGCCACAGAGCCCTGAGAATTTGTTACAGCTATATTTGGACCAAAACTTAGGTGTTTAGATTTAATTCACTTGTTTTAGGGGTTTAAATCAATTCAGTAACAATGACACCTGTAACGATGGTTTTAACAAGTTCTCAGGTCCATGTGGCAAGGGCAGGTTTGTAAGTACCATAGATGAGAAGGACCTGCATATGGAAGACCAGGCATAACATGGCAGGTTGCTAATTGTAAGTGGCAAGTGCTGGTTGCCACAAGTGACAAACCGTTCCCTCGGACCAGGTGAGCTAAATAATTACCTATAAGGCACTTAACATTCAAGGAATAACCGACGTACATTAAGAGAGTGGGGGCAGCCTACCACATGATACTCCTTACTGACATACGTGTAAGTGTGCAGATGCTATAGTTTGAAGAAGTGTTCACATGTTATGGGTCTGTATTTCCAGTGGTTCACAACAGCACAGATAATACTTCCTCTAGGCAGATACTTTGAATCGACCTATAATGAGTAATGTCTTGCTCAAGGACACAACCATATACATTGTAACACCTTCCACAAGATCCAAACCTACAAAATGCGGTCAATAGGCTGACACACTATAAACTTTGCTACATAATCTTAATGTAAGTTATAAGAGAATTAGGTTTCTGTGATAAGGGTCACCTGAGGTTATAAAATCTTTTGAAGGAAAAGGTTTTCTATAAGTGCTAGAGCACACTCTCCAATTGATGACCTTTGGTTTATGTATCCGCAAACAGCTAGGTTTGTGTATCTTCAGTTTATGTACCCTCAGTTCAGTTAGTGCATCCTTGGTTCACTTTATGTATCAGTTCTGTTTATCAAACTCCATTCAATTTTAATGTACCCTCAATTCAATAAATGTACTCGGTTTAGTATATATAACCTCAGTTCAGTTTATGTATCCTCAGTTCATAGTTAATGCATCCTCAGTTTAGTTTATGTATCAGTTCAGCTTATGTATTAATTCAGTTTATGTATCAGTTCACTTTATGTATCAGTTCACTTAATGTATCAGTTGTATTTATGAATCAGTTCAGCTTATGTATCAGTTCAGCTTATGTATCAGTTCAGTTTATGTATCAATGAGTATGTATCAGTTCAGCTTATGCATCAGTTCAGTTTATGTATCAGTTCAGTTTATGTATCAGTTCAGCTTATGTATCACTTCAGCTTATGTATCAGTTCACTTTATGTATATTCATTTCAGTGTATACATCGTCAGTTCAGTTTATGTCTAAGTTCAATTTATGTATCTTCAGTTCAGGTTTATGTATCCTCAATTCAGTTTTTGTATCCTCAGTTCAGTTTTTGTATCCTCAGTTCAGTTTATGTATCTTCAGTTCAGTTTATGTATCTTCACTTATCTTCAGTTCAGTTTATGTATCCTCAGGTCAGTTTATGTATCCTCAGTTCAGTTTATGTATCCTCAGTTCAGTTTATGTATCATCAGTTCAATTTATGTATCCTCTGTTCAATTTATGTATCCTCAGTTCAGTTTATGTATCATCAGTTCAGTTTATGTATCCTCAGTTCACTTTATGTATCTTCAGTTCAGTTTATGTATCCTCAGTTCAGTTAATGTATCCTCGGTTTAGTTTATGTATCCTCAGTTCAGTTTATGTATCTTCAGTTCAGTTAATGTATCTTCATTTCAGTTTATGTATCCTCAGTTCTGTTTATGTATCCTTAGTTCAGTTAATGTATCCTTAGTTCAGTTAATGTATCTTCAGCTCAGTTTATGTATCCTCAGATCAGGTTATGTATCCTCAGTTCAGTTTATGTATCTTCATTTCAGTTTATGTATCCTTAGTTCAGTTAATGTATCTTCAGCTCAGTTTATGTATCCTCAGATCAGGTTATGTATCTTCATTTCAGTTTATGTATCCTCAGTTCAGTTAATGTATCCTCAGTTCATTTTATGTTTACACAGTTCAATTTATGTATCTTCAGTTCAGATTAAGTATCTTCATTTCAGTTTATGTATCCTCAGTTCAGTTTATGTATCTTCATTTCAGTTTATGTATCCTCAGTTCAGTTTGTGTATCCTCAGTTCAGTTTATGTATCTTCATTTCAGTTTATATATCCTCAGTTCAGTTTTTGTATCATCAGTTCATTTTATGTTTACACAGTTCAATTTATGTATCTTCTGTTCAGTTTATGTATCTTCATTTCAATTTATGTATCCTCAGTTCAGTTTATGTATCTTCATTTCAGTTTATGTATCCTCAGTTCAGTTTATGTATCTTCATTTCAGTTTATGTATCCTCAGTTCAGTTTATGTATCCTCAGTTCAGTTTATGTATCTTCAGTTCAGTTTATGTATCCAGATTCCTCAGTTCAGTTTATGTATCCTCAGTTCAGTTTATTATCTTCAGTTCAGTTTATGTATCTTCATTTCAGTTTATGTATCCTCAGTTCAGTTTATGTATCCTCAGTTCAGTTTATGTATCCTCAAGTCAGTTTATGTATCCTCAGTTCAGCTTATGTATCCTCAGTTCAGTTTATGTATCCTAAATTCAGTCTGTGTCTTCAATTCAGTTCTTGTATCTTTGGTCATTATATCATGTATGTTCTATTCAGGTTTATGTATCTGTTAAGTGTATGTCTTTTTTATTCAGCTGATGTGTCATCTAACAGGTTTTAATCAGGAAGTTGTAATCATTGTTGGGTTTTACTTTGACCACTCTCTGTTGATGCTGAAGTATTAAAGTTTATATTGTACTTTCAATGTACATTTTCATCTGATCCTCTGTGTTTTATGTACTGTCATGTCATGAATAATGTGGATGCTTATTTGAATAAAGATGAAAGATCACAGCATGGTTTTTCTTTGTCCTCCTAAGGTTGATTCAGAGACTGTTGACGAGCTCTCTATTGCAGAGTTATTCAGACTGTTTTCCTGGTACATGCTTTACATTGTTATAGGTTTGTTTTTGTATGTTTAGATCAAGTTGCCGTGTTTCGGCCCATAAGACACGTCGAAAACAGAAACTTGATCGATTGTACATTGTGAGCTATTAATATATTTATGAACTTCCATAACAGATCCATTGAGATATTGGACACATAAGCAAGGCATGTTTGCTTCGCTGAACAATGCTGCACTTTGCTGCGATTCAAATGATTATATATAATGTCATCATTATGTGTTGATGTTGGGGTCCCACTGAAACACTAGATTATATAGGGAATGAAATGCCAGGATAACAAGGATAGTTTCAAGCTTCAGTGGTTTGGTATTACGTGAGTTACTAGCAATGTCAATAAACATAAAAAATATATTGTATACATTAAGATTTATGCTACCATACAGTTGTTATCCCACTGATCTGTGTTAGAGTGATTTCCCTTAAGTTTCTCTAAATTCACAACTACCCAGGTTATTGTAGTATTCCCTTTGAATTTATTATCAATTAAGTATTTCTGTATATCGTGTTTCAAACTTTACAGGACCATCAGGAAAAATTTGAAACATCGAGACATTGACTCATGATTGTTGAACTTCTTAAAGATCTTGCATAATTTGCATAAAGACCGAATATTGGTTGTTATAAGTGACGGAACACAAGGCAACAAATTTAATCTGAAATGAATGTATTTATATTGGATTTAATGTGATTAGAAAAATCTTTCATGTAATTATTTGCATGTTTAGATCTTAAAATGACACCAGGATTCATTTTGATTTATTATAGTCATAATTTTCAATGTTTACCTTAATTGACTATTACAAAGTTCAAAACAACGAGACATTCTACTCGCAATCATTCAATTCATAAATGAATATCAGTCTAGTGTTATATATAGAATTAAATCTTTAAAGTTTTATTTATGTAGGCAATTTGTTTCAATGTCTGTATGAGTGTACTGAAGCACCTTAAACTGTCCCTAATCCAAAATGTCCCATGTTTATAAAAAAAAAAAGAGCCAGTGGAAGAAATGCATTTCAGGTAATCTGTCTTAATTCTTAAGATATGCAAAGTCATATATATCAATCATAAACTAGGTCATTATGTGTGATTTGAATATTTTTGAGATTTAAATTTCTATAGGTAATGTTTCTGTTAATATCAATCGACAAATATAACACGTCACAATATCTGTAGGGGTTTATAGTTGATTACAAACCTTTTGTATATTTTTCAAATTGCTCAGTACAAGTGTACCGAAGCACCTTAAATCAACAGATGATTCTATAAGAGAAGGTCACAAAACTATTATATTACATTAGGCCCAATTTGATCTATTTGTCCGCCCAATTTTACTTATTCTAAACCATGATTTAATTATTTTTTTTTTTAATAATTGATGTCATTCAACATTCTATTTATTACTAGT